ATTTTCATACACACTTATACATGCATTGCTATGGTCTCGTGTGTTGCTTGCCATTACTGCTACTAATTCTTCATTCCTTTTATATCTGCTGCATAATAACTCGGTGCTAGTACAAAGTAATGGAGCTCAAATCAACAAACATGACTTCACTCACAACCAACTACCCTCGTCCATCGCTACTGGAGATCAGCAACACGCATGACGACCAGTGTTGCCAATCACGTCATTAACATGGAGTTTTCTCGCTGAATCGGGGTCACACGTTACGTTATGGTGTGTAAGGACCCATAAGAAAGAGTAACACATTGTTTAAACCACACAGGAGGTGGGCGTTACAGCTTCCATAAATGTACTACATAACATTATATGGGTATAAGTAAACTGCCATGTTGGCCAATTAACGAAGGCCGCAAGGAATAATAGAACGATGGCCGCGAGCGATAACAATGTTCATTTTACGTTTCTAGTAAATAACGGTATAGCCTTTTTAAGGCATATATCTCTTTGGTCTTTAACCGTTTGGTTCTGGTAAATAATTGTGAATTCCTAGTATGAAAAGGCTCTCTGAGTTAAAGTCTTCTTCTAGTGCTTGCCACTTGCAGCCCCGCTGCGCATCTTAGCACTTGTAGTCGATTAAAAACCAAGTCGTTTAACTGTTCCCCCGTGAAGACGGAGCAATTTGCTTATCTCTTTGAGAGCGAACAGGCAGCTCTTACCAAACGAAAGTCAGCTCTTACTAAGCAGACTTTCGTTGTCGGTCTAGAAAATGTGAAGGCCTTTGCTAATCAAGGGCCGGATGCGGTTACGGCACGCCTCTATGCATTTTGGCATTACGTCCTGAATCACATTCAGGAGAATATGGTCCCGGCCAGGCCGGTGGGTACGTCCATCAGTATCTGATGACGTTCTCATAATGTGACCCCTCTTAGTGAGCGTGTACCCCTTTGAGGCAAAAAGGAGAGAATCTCCGTATTTGTATCCGAAGAACGTGAAATCTACGTCTTCAACTGTGCTCTACACTCAGAGTACCAGCGAATAGACCTTGCTATCTCAGAGCGCGGCAGAAGATCAAGAGAATGGGCACTGACGTGCGGTACATCGGTGGATGTTGCTTATTCCAGCATCAAATTCACCAAAGCGCGGTCCCTTAAGGGCGACCCTATCCCCACAAGGTAGACATCGGTCTCTCAAGGTGGACCCTAGACCCTGGTCCGTCCAGGTAGACCTCGGCCTATCAAGGTCGACGTTGGTCGCCCACAATTGAACTCCACCATACCTACCTATAATATGTCCTTTCCATGGGATGAGAAACTCCCGTTGTTGTCGCCCATATCGTGTTTTCTTGCCGGTGCATTTTTTCAAAATCTCTTCGACCTCGTACTCACCCTCTTCAAGCTCTCTTACGCAGCTGTCCTCTGGCAAGAGACATTCATCAAACTCAACCCGATCTTAACGTCCATTTCTAGCATAATACTTGGGCGTCCAGGTAAATATCTAACCCACTTGATCTTGGAAAGACGTACGATCTGGAATAACCTGTAATCTGTGTCTCGGTTTTTAAACGTGTCGCATACTCTCCCACCAATTACAGAACTCAAAATTATCCATGCTGAATGAAGGCCAGTTTCTAGCGTACCCTTCTTTCACGCGGTCCCGGTTAAGCCACAATTGGGTCCCCGGGCTGAATTCTACGTTGTGTGCTTGTACCCGAGCTTGACTGGCCGCCCGTAGGTTTTCATTCACGTGGGCTCTCACTCGCTGATTATGGCGCTGAATGCGATAATTTCATCTTCGACATCCAGAACCTCGATGTCAAGCATTTTCCACCGGTAATGTAACTTCGAGAGTGATTCTAGCATCCCAACCATAGACCAGATAGAATGGCTTCACTTTCCGGACTCGGTCTTGCGCGGTGTTCATCGCAAACGATAGGCGTTCTGCATACTAATCCCAGTCCTGCTGTCCGACATCAGAGACATACATCATGATGGACCTTGTTAGGGTCTGAACCATCCTCTGCCTGGTACCGTTCGCCTAAGGCCGATAGGCCATGGTCGCCTGTTGACGTTAGCCCACCATTCGACTAAATGCCCGAAAAAATCCAAGATAAACCCTGGCTCACGATCGTGGCAAATTACCTCACTAGCACCAAAATGGCGAAAAACGTATCTTTCTATCGTCTGGGCCGTCCGCGAAGTACTAGTCTTGACCATCACATACCCCATGAACAAGTCGACCCAAATCAGTACTTTAATGGTGCGACCTGGGTAGAGAGGGAATATGACCCATTGCTATAATCTATAGAAGGTATGTTGCTTCGACATTTCTCGAGGGTAGGCCCTCTTTTCCCAATTTTGAATGTAATATTTGGAAGTTTTCTAGATGAAAGCTTCTTAATTTTAATAAGCAATCCTCACCTTACCGACCTTCACCTAGCGAGTCGCTCTTACTATCGCGATCCACGGGGGTCCTCGAAGGGACCTGAAGAGGTGTTAGAGGTTTTGTTCCAGTATCCAATTGATCTTCCTCTCCATTTTTATCGTCTTCAAAACCCTGACGATCCTTCCTTATCATGCATGCGTCCGCGGCAATTTTTTTCTTTTCTACTGATGCTTCGTCCCAAGTTCCATCTTAATCGTTTGACCTTCGCTTTGATATACACGGCAGTATCCGAATCACCAGAATATCCGGGGACGCGCACCATTGTAGTGGTGCGGTGGTCACAAAACTCTCTGTGATCCTGGCCTTCCACTGGCGCCCACACTGTCGGCTGATGGAGAGGGTACCCCGATACAGTATGCTAGTCCTTCCTCATCTTTTGTACCCGTGTTGCACTCTCCTCGGTGGACTTGATCCTATCTTGATCGTGATGGAGTCTGGATCGACTGTGGTGGATCGCGTGGAGAATCCTCACGTGATTGCCGTAAAAATGGCCCTAAAAGCTGCGCTGACCAACCATGGATCCTCCTTTCCCCTTCCTTGTTTATCCTCTTGAGCCTTCTAGTAGATCTTCTGATCACTTCAGCAAATCCCTTGCTTGGACGCCGATTCCAATCGCAGTTAACTTGACTTAAGCATTCTCGAACTCCTCTTTCGAGTGGAGACACGAGGTGACGAGGCCTGAACGAGAGCAAGCGGGGCTGGAACGCGCTAATGGCGCAAGTTATCACGATAAACGGCGTCAGACCAGTCGACGCGTGCTCTAAATTGCTGAGTGCAAAATTCAGCAAGCGGCAAAAATGTTTTTGCAAACTGGTAAAGCCGGTGGAGTAGCAACGAAGATTGTCTTCAAGTTTTTCGATTTCCGCTTCGGTTGCCCATCTGTCTCCGGGTGGGCCGAGGTAGACATCTTGAGTCGTGTGACCAACAGCTCGAAGTGTTTGGTCCAAATCGCCGAGATAAATCGAGGACTACCGTCAGAAATGATAGACTCTGGAAGACTGGGATGTTTGTAAACGGCATTAATATAATGACCCAAGGTCTCGGCCGCAGTGACGGCAACACACTGGAATGAGGTAGGTCATTTGGCTGAAACGAGCCAAAAATACTAGAATTTTGCTTTGGCCTTGGCTATCGAGCGCGAGCCCGAATGTAAAATCCATCAAATAGATTGCCACGCTTCTGTGGCAATAGGAAGAGTCCCTAGGGTAGTCTACGACGACAAAGACAGTTTAATACGTTTACGGATTTTACATGTGCGTGTCTGGGCACCAGAGACATGTTGTTTTTACCAGAAACTTGCCATCGCGGCTCAATTCCACTGATGATCTTGGCAAAGATTCTATGCTGCTCGTCTCATCAAGGGAGCGCAACATGGCGCCCACCGCGGCCTTGCCTACGGACTTAGCCATTCGATATACCGTTTGCTATTCAGGATTACTCAATTAGCAGAAGTTATCACGTCTCGCGGAAGAACTGTTCACATCCGCTGGTTCTATAGCGGATGTGTCAATGGTTGTCGACAAGGCCACGTAGTGCAACCAGTGGATTGGGGCGTTTTCTAATACTGATAACAGTGTAGGAAGGTACCGGAAACCGCGCGCGGACGCGTGCGGCGAAGCACGAGACCAAAAAACGATAGCGCGTCGTTGTATAAAACCTAGAACTGTCTAACAAATGTTGTAAAAGGTTTTTGAATATAAAGCCCTTAAAGACATGCCTCAATTATATTTAACTATTAATACATATATCGAGTCACTGCTTACCATTCATCGCGCCGTCTATCCTTCAGTGGCCGGTAGGTTGCTGATATAGTGGCCTATATCAGCCAGTAGGCGAAGTGTAGCCAGCTCTTTCAAATATAACGTCTTGGGTTATATTCCTACAATATTATCCTTGGTTAACCAATATTTATAATTTGAAAAAATCTAAATTATAGTGTCCAATATTACGTATCAGGCTACCGCTGCAGATATATCGAGATTCAGTACACCAGACTTAGCTGCCGGTCAACTCTATCATTTTTTTGTGGCCAACGTTTAACGTAGAGCAATCGCTTACTTGTGGTGCCTTGCTGATTCGAGCTCAATCACTCACATCATTTTATCGCTCTAATTTCGTTCCTTTTGAACAATTTGCACGATCGTGTCCCGGTGACGTGATCATAAGCTTATTATGTTTGACACATGTTTCTTGTAGAAGCCTCTGTTTCGTCAATCGCTGCTACACTTCACTCACTACGTACAAATACGTGGTGTGATCACTAGCGTTGCAGAGTAGCGCATGTAATAAACCAAGTGATTGGCACTGACAGTCATTAGCCGACATTGCCGCATTTCGGCAATCTGCTAGGGCATTATTCGCGTTCATCCGCCCGCAACCGTCTCGTTGTTCCTTTTCCTTCATACAAGCACAAAAATAGTTTCTCTATTCCTGCCGAAAAGAACTATTAGTCAGTTGCTGGCAACACCATTGAGGCTTCGGCAAACTGGACAGGACTCACACAAAAAGTGTAACGGGCAGCAGTATTGCATCTTCATAATTTATCTACTGTCCATTTTTTAAGCAGGAGGCAACTGTTTTTCAAGCTGAGCCATTTCAACCGACAAGCGTGCAATATGCACCTCAGCTTCCTCGCACTCGACCACGCATTGCTGGTACTCCGCTTGGATTGCATCGAAGTCACAACCAATTTCAGAAACTGGTTTATCGTTCAAAACTAGTCTTTCAGTGATACTACCACATAGTGTCTCCGCTACTACACCGTCAGCGATTGTCAGCGTCATAATGCCCTGTTGCAATGGTAATGAAAGCACAAGAAACACAGAAGCGATTAGTGCTTGTGTTGTAACAGAACACTCACCCGCACGTGGCGCTCCAGGCTTTTCCTTCACGCAAAATGCGCTAATCGGATCCCGTTTCGCCCATTACTGCTTGTCTGCAACGCTGATGCTGCAAAATAGGATGCAAAGACGTGTATCGACAATTGTGCTGACCTTAGATATATCATTTCGTAATTGTGGCTCCAACGTTGGTTTCGAGAAAGATTCTCGACCTGCTGCCAATATCGCTGATTTCACCGATGATAACATTTCAAGTGGCGACGATAATACCTCCTTCGTCACTTTCTCCTTTTCTTGATTTGCTTCAGTTTGCGCACAGATCTGTTTATCAACATTTGCTCCTGCCGCTGGTTGTATAAGTCTTTCGGTGCAAGGCGAACTTATCCCAGGACGTGCTGATGGAGCACTTGGCCATTGAATACATGCACCTCCCGCCTTGTTTTTCAAACTCGGTGACGACAATGCTGAGCTTGGTGGAGGCCCGAAAGATTGCTTTGATAGTTCAGTTGCGGTGCTCACCAATAAATGTTTTGTCTGCTTCTGTTGTTCGCGTTCAGCAATCTTTCGTCTCATTTGCTTGATTGCATCTCGCAAACCGCTGGACGATGTAGCTTCTTGCGTAAACTTGTCTCCACTTTTCCGTGGCAAAAAGTCATTGGGGGTGAGTTGAATCACTACAGACTGAGAGCTTGCTGTCAGAGGGCGAAACTCTGAAGTTGACACGGCAAAATCCGTGGAAGGCTTTGTTTTCTCTGAAGTCGTAGCCAACTTAGATACCTCCATCTTGGAAACAACTTGTTCAGGCGTTAATGACTTACCAATTTTGCTAGAAGGCCAATCGTTTCCAATGCGATCAGCATCAGTAGATCTACTTATCAGCGTACATTCCGACAAATTTTGTGAGGCTGCTTGGGCACCTGAAGGATTGCTCTGGGCGGCTTTTTTCATCCTGCTCTCATCAGGTCTTTCAATTAAGCTTAGTTCAATACCTTGCGGCGTTGATTGCGAAATGCTTCGTGTCTTGCTGCTGGCAGTTCGGTTCCGGTTTCTCTTCATGGATCGCAAGATATCGAAGCGCAGCTCATCAATCTCAGGGCTCACAGGCTTCCTTTTTTTCTCCTCGCTGTATGCTGCTGTTTGAACAGATCGCGAAGACGATGGAGAAGACTGCACAGAAGTTACTATTGTGGTTGTCCGGTCCATTTTCTTTACGGAGCGCTTTATTTTGGTACGAAGCGCAGCCGCTCGAAGGCTGTCAAGATCAAAGTCCACGGACTCATCACGCCCCCCTGCTAGCAGCCGAGTTGGTGGTATTAACTCCACCCGAGATAGACAGAGGAGGAAGCTGGGGTGCATAACCTACAGAGCGTTGCAGTGGAAGACCTGGTCCATTAGGCATGGATGGTGGTGGAATCACCGACAACGAATGGTACTGAAACCCCTCGGTAATCGGTGACGCCGAAAGGAGGGACAGTTCAGCCTCACCACCGATCATCTCCATACCACCTTGACGATTAACGCGTAGAATCTGGCTATCTTCGTACGATGGTGGTAGTGAAGCAGCTGGTCGTTGCTGTAGCGGAGGTCTAAGTGGTGGGTGTGGGACGGCACTTGGGAGACCACCAGCGCAAAACAAAGCTGGGGGAGCATCTTGGAAAACAGGACGCATATTCATTGGCTCGCCTCTTGGGCCATTCCTCATCATTGCAAACGGTGGCAGATCATCCGCGAATGGTTGCTGGCGTATTGTCCGCTTAAATTCGGAATTAACTCGACCTGGTGGGGCATGCATCGCCTGCATCGCTTCCACCTTCCGTTTAGCCTTTTTTTTTCCACGTTTTTTCTGCTTTCTGCTTCGCAGATGCGATCGAATTCCCGTTGCATTCACCTGTCGCTTTTGTATGCTTTCGCAATGGTGATCTGACATATATTCTTGTATCATTGGCTTCAAGGCTACACCTTCTTCAAAAATTTCTCCATCTTCAAGACTTTCACCAGTTTGATCCGCTATGGTAGATAAGCTTGGAACGTCAGCATTAGCTTGTGGCGCTTTGTTTGAAAGTTCTTCATCGAGATGTACCTTCATTATATCATCGATACCTTCATACAGAGGCAGTGCGAGCGTCTGTTGACGAGTCACTTCAACTTGATGAATCTCTTCCCAAACGCTTTTGTGTTTTTGTCCATCATGAAAAGGCGAGATTGTCTGGCTCATGACATCCAATAGCGCCCCCATGTTCTTTCGCATCTGGTGGTGAGACGTATTGTCATTTACCGATAGAGCTGCAGACAGCGCCACTTTAGAAGAAATGTGTGGCCACTCTTCATCCACATCCGACTCGATATCTTCCACCAGCGGTACCGTCATCTCCGACGTTTCTTTGTCTTGTTGCACCAACTGTACCACCGTTGCAGACTCGTTACCAATCCCATCAAGCGAATTCAACTTGATTGTATTGGAAGAAGAAGAGATTGTAGTCGACTTATTTTCAACTGACTCCTGAGCCACTTGACGTTCCATAATCTCGTCCTCTTCGTCGTCCAGCGTCAAGTCAATCAATTGACTTGAAGTAAAGCTACTCGGATGTAAACTATGAATACAATATGGCTTTTAGTGTAGCTGCAAGAAGACAGAGAGTTAGTAATAGGGTGAGAGTGACCGAAGAGTGCGTACCTTACAGATGACGACGAAGGCATTAAATAAGGCCCAGTACTTTTCATTTTTTAAATAATATATTTTGACTGGTTTAAAGTATGCAGCACTTCCATTTGTACCAATCACAATGCTTTTTTTAACGCAAACACAATTTGAACTTAAGTATTAATCACGAGATTCAAAGGAACAATTCTTTTTGTCAGAATCTGTCGTACCTGGCGTTTGGAACGTCAAAGTACGAATTGTGGAATCTTGGAATCTTATGTTCACCACATTATTTCATATCTTGTATTCCTAATTTTCTCATAGTCAGATTGTCATTCAAGTCACAAGTGATAAAATCGAAGAAAGATGGTTCCCGTTCCACATTACGTGAAGTCTGTTGCACTCACGAACTCAACGTCACATTCTGTCAACGTTATTGCCATGTTTGGATCAGAGGAAATGGAGGCACAAGGAAAGAAAAAGATACAGGAGACGTATGAGCTACCGCCTGGGGCGAAAGCAAAGATCAACGGGCACGAGTACGACATGGGCGGCTGGACGGCTGTAGCTGCGCTTTCTTCAGTAGAAGTGAAACACTCAGACGAAAACGGAACGCTGAATAAGACATTTTACACACCTAGCGTCAATTGTATCGTTGACGTGCTGCATGTAGACATTAGTGCTGATGAAGACACCAAGAGCTTCAAGGTTACAGCTGTGCGTGAGGGCTAAACTCTTGTCACACTACGAGTGACCTCTGCCTTATCAAGTTGAATCTTTACTCTCTGCTAAAGAAAATATGTTGCTTACGACAAATGAAACTAGCAATACAATTGTGGTCGCCTGGCTTTGATCGTGCCGTGAGCTAGCCCTTGAGTATATATAAATACTTGTAATCTTGTCCACGCTATAGTGTCAACTACTGTTGTGTCATTCATCGCGTGTCACCGTCTACTGTTTTCCCTCACAGCCTTTGCATCATCTTCACATGTTGAACACACAGCGATACAGCTTGAAGAAGACTGTAAAAAAATATTTCTACGCCTCTACTGACGTTGTATCAATCGGTGGCCGACCGTACATGGCCATAGACGAGCTGCTGGATGCCACGTGTGCTTGATGAGGCTCGCTAGTAGATTCACCAGCATCTCTCACCTCGCTCTCATCCATCTGTGAGACGGAAAAGTATGCGCTACCTGCATCAGAGCGCAGCGACAAAGGCGAAGTGCCTGGAGAGTACGGCGCCGCCAAGTAAATTGTGTCACCACTTTCTGATCTTGGGGTACACATGTCGCCATTCGAACCGCTTTTGGTCTGAACGTCTCGTTGCTGGGTCAGATCAACGTGACGCCCAAACCCACGCTTCGGACCACTGTTGCTCCTCCGCTTGTGATACAAGCTGCTCCCACGACGGCTGCTGTCGCGTTCGCGAATCTCACCGCTTTGGTTGCTAAGCACCTCCAAACTTTCATCTACTTCCGCTTCAATATCTGCCAGTATCTCTTCCTCGCTGCGCACATCTTCGCCAGACACGCGGGAGTCACTAGTATGGTTGACGCTGGCTTTCGAATTGCCCGGTGCTGAATCAGAGTTGGTCTTCTCCATACAGCATCGTTTCCACCATGGCACACGAGCCTGCACACAATTCACAAAGCAAAAAGCAAACAGGTTGTTAATGTTTATAAATAAGTGCGACACCATCATGGTCTGCAAGGTCACGTGACTAGACTCTTAATGCTGATAATGCAACTCCCCGTCACTAAAATGTCGTCACGGCTAATAAGGTAAATACGTACGGTGTTTTGTCGGTCCTGCGCAGTTTTTCGCTTACGTTGGCGGACAATGTAGTCATAGGTCGTGATGTTTTCTATACCTATGAAAGCACGCACGCACGCACAAAAAATGGAGGTTAGTTAGCTAGCATAGATATAGCCAGATATGCAAACAATTCGGTACTGCAGACGTGCATAGATGAAAGTGGAAGAGCGCAAGCTGTCCAATCATAAACAACCACGGAATCAGGAAGGCAAGTAGCACAATGTGGATTATCCGTAAAGTCTGCAATGAGATACGATATTGTCCGTCTATACAAAGTCCCGTCACATCTTCTTTCTCTGTCGAGCATCCGTAACTTGTAGCAGAATTTTCCTGCATATCTACTTCGTTCGAGTAAAGCTCGACCACAATAAAAATCCCCACCGCAATCTGCAGTGCTAGAAACACCGAAGCACCCACAACAGATCCTAAGAAGTAATGGTAGTTCTTTCTGCCAACGCAGTTGTTTAACCACTTACAGTGATGGTCAAAGACATCCACGCACTTGTCACACAGGCGACAATGTCGACTCTGGTTATTGCTACAATAGATGCATGGTCTCCATTAATACCATATAACTGTCTAACGTCGAACAAACAGAAAGTAGAAAGAAACATACACGTATTTCATGCAAACATTGCAGTACACTCGTTCATTTGGAAGAGATTCTCTCGTATCAGTCATCGTCTGCAGCAGCATACAACCGTCATAAAAATAAGACCAGAAAATAAATATTTCCACAAGTTTGTAACATACACAGTACTCCTACCGATTGTCTCAAAATATAATCATCTGATGGATCAGTTCCTGTGCATACGGACACAGATATCACTGTAAAGAGACTTGTAATAGCATACACAATGCTGAGAACAATGGCTAGCGTCTTGTCTAGAATGGGTGTGTAGAAGGCAAAAAAGAGCGCCATGATGGCCGGAAAAACCACCCATGTAGCCAATTGAAGCACATGAAATGGTGTCTCCCACCCGTTTTTACGCATATCGAGCACTGTAATAGAGCGTTACTACAAGTGTGCGTGTGAGAAAGAGAGAGAGAGTCGTGAGTGCGCGTCTTGGGTAGCGTCTGCTGTCTATCGAAAGAGTAACGATCGTTTGCGTAACTTCATTGGCTAATAAAATACGACCTTATAAAAGCAAAGCTGGGACTTTGATCATTATTGACAGGTAAACTGACTCTTGTGAAAAAGGCAACTTGAAGACCATCACTCTATATGTGCAGCTCAACTAATGCGCGCAAGCGCTGATAATCGATCGCGTACATTACGGGTGGTTACAATCAGGGTATGGTCGATTGCCATGACATACAAAAACGCTTGTTTATAAAAGCAATAGATGAAGAATTGAACATTTCGCTTTCTATGACGAAACTGCACTCGTAGTCCATATTTCGCTCGTCCTGGACAGGTTTTCCGCACGTCTACTAGAGTGTCGTGTATGCAGCATATTAAAAAATGCCCAAGTAGTTGTTTTTTGGTGCTCGAAGTGCTCGATGGATGGAATCGTAAGGTCAATTTGAATGATTGGGTACGTCTTCGATACAAGAATACTTCGACTGGGTGGTACTTCTATCTGAATTTAGTTATGATGCCAAACGGTGATATTTCTACACTCTCGTCGTACGATGCGATTGGCTTGCCTCTGACTAGTACTAATCATGCAGCGTAATGATGATGCTCAGAAACAAATCAACGGCTGGGTTTGTTATCGCTAAGCTTTTTGCCTCTTAAATTTGAAGTAAACTGCTGTTGTGATCGAAGTAGCACAAGTGTTTTGAATTGGCAGACTTGTGTTTATAGATAATTGCCTCTAGTATGTAGAACATTTGCTAAGGTTGTACCGGCACACTCAGTGAGGCTTATGTAATTAGTTGTCTCGAACGTTTTTTATCGCTGCGGTGAACAACTATTTACGAGAAAAAATAGAGAGACATTGATATTCTTGGAAGAACACTTTATACAATAGCCGCCTCTGAAGAACCACGAGCTCGAACGCCCTGTCGCTTACGCAATGGACGCACACCGGGCCCGGACTCTATACATGCCGAGTTACTCAAGCATGGATCAGAGCTACTAGCTCAACCCCTCGCCGATATCATCAATCATGGACTCGACACAGGAGACAACATCCACCTGGGCGACGGGATTCTTTCGGACTCCCCAAGCCAAACAAGCCGGCTGGCCAATGCGCTAGCCTTCGACCTATCGTCCAACTCAACAACATCCGTAAGGCGATCTCTTAAGTGGTGCTTCGCCGCGTCTCCCCCAAGGTCGAACGATTTCTGTCCCCGCACCAAGCGGGTTCAGACCCAGTCGCAACACTGCTGATGCAGCGTGGGTTCACAGGTGGATAGCAGCACGTACCCAGACGTACAAAGAACGATTCCATATTCTTGGGATCAACCTCTCCCGTGCTTTTGACACTGTCAACCGCGACAAATTTCTCTCCGTGCTCGATCCAACTCTTGATGATGACGAAGTTCGACTGATCAGACTACTACCACGGGACACAATGCTCTCCCTCCGACTCAGCAATCGCCTGCTCTCACCTTTCGAGAGCAATACAGGTACTCCTCAAGGTGTTTTACTGTCCCCTGTTCTTTTTGTTATTTACCTGGAAGCAGGTCTACGAGACCTAGCCAGCCAACTCGACGTACCTCACGATCGCTTCGCTGACATGATCGTGTACACCGACGACGCCGACTTCGTCTGCCAAAGCGCTGAATAGCTACCTTGATCGAGACTGAAGCCCCTGCTGATGTGGCCAAATAGTCACTCCAGATGAGCACGTCCAAGACCGAACGCACCATCGTACTCCGCAGTCCAACAGCGCAGTCCAACCGGATTACACGCGCCAAGGATAAAGATTGGCACATTACGCGCAAACTAGGCTCTCTCCTCGGCGACGCAGAAGACGTCTCCCGTTGTAAGAATTTAGCGTCCACCGCGCTCCACGACCTGTGAAAAATTTCAGCCATCGAAGACCTCATAAACTACGCGCCTTCGCCTTTACAACTGCTACGTTTTGCCGATTCTGCTATACAATTGCGGGACTTGGCACCCTTACCGATTCCGTGCTACACAGCTTCGAAAGTTTCATCGTCAACAGCTCCGCAGAGTGATTGGCGTACGTTATCCAGACACGATCTCCAATGCCAAGCTCTACGACTGTACCAAGACTGAGCCACTCCGATTTCACTTCCATGCTTCGAAGCCGATGGAGCCTTTTTGGCCACATCCTTCGCAGACCAGCAGGTATCCCAGCCTACCGCTTCATGGAAACTTTCTTCAACCCCAGTGAGACCGGGAAATGGAGAGGCAGACGCCGACTTACGCTGCCGATGGTCCTAGATGCCAAGCTTTGAAACACTTTCCGCAGGACACCGCCTTCAACGTGCCCCAGACCTGTACTTCTTTCGCCTATGTGCTCAGGAACGCGCAGCCTGGAAGGACCTGACCGAGGCGCTTGTAGCGCATGCGCCGCTTAATTGACTCTGGCCGAGAGAAGAGAGAAACGTAGAGAATGGGACATAACCCGAGGCATGCGGAATTTGAGCCACTTTTGTGGCAAGACGGCTCGCGAAACGCGTTCACATACATACATACAAATGTACACTGCTCACAGTATCTCGAATATTCGGATCTTAAGCCCAGTTTCTGAAAGACTCGAATGATTGTTTGTATGATGCAACCAATTCGAGATGGAGCTGCATCTGATCCTGTGCCAGTGAGTACAAGGTCAAATACAACCTCATCACTTGACATTCTACCAAGCGCACCTTGTTACAGTGTTAATAATGGCAGTTAAGACCAGCGCGACTCGCCTTTCTTGCGCGACGGTGCTAGTAATCTTTGCGTTGCTTGTATATCTAGCTACAACCGTGATAACCGTAGACTCGATGTTTGAAGGGACCACACGCCGCTCAGATGCCTTGAAATTGCTATATGCGACTTACGATAGTGTCCCGGTCAAGAGGCATTTGAAGGCAAACGCGGCCATGCCAGCAAATGATCTTTCAGAAGAGAGGGATGACATCTCGGGACTCCGTGAATTTGGCACCCCACTGAAATCCGGACTCCGTGAATTCGGCACCAAACTGAAACCCAGTCTATCGACAATCACCGCGAAAATTCGGTTGAAGTGGTGTGAGTTGACGGGGAAAAACTTGTATGCTACGTTTGAAATTCTGAAGCTCCACAAACATCCTGAAAAGCTACTTAATAGACCGGGGTTTTATATGTGGTTAGATTTTGCTGCCTCCCACAATTACCGCGCTTATTATATCATTCGAGCCTTGGAACATTATTACAGGGGCCAGGAGGACGTCCTGGTCAAGGTCTTGAGTGCAGGATTTGTCAATGAATAAGCGAAAAACATTGCCAAAGGATTGAAATATGCCCAATTCAAATATTGGTATCGGTTTAGAAGAAATCCTGCGAACGATGTGTTCATGCTTTAAAGCCTCACCAGAGAGACGTCAAAGTTACTAAAGACCCGGTCTTTTCCTGGTGGGTAGATTTCCTCTTGTACCGTTTCAACAAGAAGAAAGCTCATGAAGAAATGTGCTGGACCGTCGCACATCATTACTTTGATGATGCGCTGGTTGAGGTTCTAAGGACTGCTGCAAAACTATATGATGATAGACTGATGGACTGGGTTGCTAAAGGTAAATCTGCGGACGATGTGTTCAAGACTTTGAACGTTATGCCTTCAGTATACGAACCTTTGACGACACCCAGGCTTTTTCAGGTGGCTTGCGTTGTTCGTTGTGAAAGACAGTAAAGCCTGGGAACTTGGGACCAAGCGTTTGTCGAAATAGGCATTGTCAATGATTTCAATCTCGATGATTTTCTTAGTAAGCTACAGATTTGGGCTGATTACGCCCAGTGGCTTAATATTCCCAAACCGTATGAGATCATGGTCAACAAGCTGGTGAAACAAATTAATGAGGTAAAACTTGATGAGGTACAACTTGCTTCAAAACTTTGTGCGAATGGCCGATTCTGACAAACTGGCAAGCAAGTTGCTGGAAGAGCTGTTTAAAATGTGGACAGCTAAGGGCCGGGTCAGCTTCAATCCTAACGTTATCGAGGACACGACAGAGTTCAAGATGATGTTAAAACGGTACCAGGACTATCAGAAAAGAGCCGAGACCGCGAATGACCATTGACTTTAACCAGCCTGAAAGAAAGATGGAAGCAGAGCGGTAGTGGCGGTAGTTGGTGACATTCTGGTTTAGTTGACTGCGCTTTTCATATACACTTACTTATTTATACATGCATTGCTTTCGTCTTGTGTGAAATTGCTTGCCATCACTGCTACTAACTCTTCATTCCTTTATATCTGCTTCATAGTAAATTCGGTACTAGTACAGCATAATGAAGCTCAAATCAACAACTCATGACTTCACTCACAACCAACTGCCCTCGTTCATCGCTACTGGAGATCAGCAACACGCATGACGACCAGTGTTGCCAACCGCATCATTAACAGGATGTCCAAACGATAGTGACCGAGCAATTGATGGCTTCATGTCGAGCTCCAAAGACTTCGCAGCGAGAAGCGTGTTTGTGAGTGGTTGGGCAGTCTATCTACCAACTCGAGACATTGTCGTGATGTAGGAGGCAGCAGTTTCTGCAATCTGCTGCAATTACTTATCAGAACAATCTCCGCTGCGAACACCTCAAAGATGTAGCGGTGTTTAAGAGCTAGCACGGTCCCTTGTATCCGTCGGGGAAAACTTATCATGGGCGGATTAGCCCATGAACATAGGAGTAATGGAGTCAAAGACCTTTGTCCAGACACTTGCATGTCTTGTCGGCGCATGGAGAGCGTAATAAACTGACGATGTACGTCTTGGCACGGAAAACCATCAGTCAAACATACCCACGACGAATATTGAAGGCATAGACAGTGTGGGTATTTCCACTGCCCATGAAGCTGCAAAGCACCACAGCGCGCTATTCACCGTGCTCACAATAGTATGGACCACGCTCTTCGAATGCCAATGGTAGCATGTAAAACGTAAGCTCCAACACCAAAGAAGATTTTAAAAAGAAAATCAATCGCACGGCACCGTCGCGCCTAAACGGGCAGAACGATGTGCAGCAATTTAGCCTCGAATACCAGCACAATAGCGGGATAGTTGCAGCCCTCAAATCCAGACACCCATCGACACCATTGCGACTTTTCAGGTGCTACCCGATTGCATTAATGAAGATATGCAAAAAGGGCAGCGCCTCACGGAAAGTGGCATATTGTATCGAAACACACGTCCATCTGCTCACAACAACAAGTGCGCCAACGCACCGATGTTTTCTCGCATCAACAACATTTAGGAGTACACCCCACATGGAGTCGATGTATCACACTTGTTCTTGTTGTTGCACATTCCACTCTTCGACCAGTGAGTACGTCCATTATTAGCGTAGCTTCCAGCCCAGTAGAGTCCATCAGTGCTGTCATAATGCCACGCACTGCGTAGCCTGTGACATCCTCAGTAACTCTCGAGTGACAGTTTCCCTTACTGTGCCCACTTGGGACGAGAGGACTAACAGGTATCCCGTCCCGAGATCCATCAACTCCAGTTTATCCAGCTGGGATCTGTGCAGGCACTAATGCTCTACTACAGATCTTCGGACGCTAGCGTCATAGGTAATCTATCCATCGAAATGTCAAGCTTCCCGGTTGGCCTAAAAGTCCCTGTGAGGCAATAATGAGTCGTTCAAGTCGTCATCTCTACCCGGAACAGCATGACCGTCGCAGCCACGTCGCACTGTAAACACGTTGGGTCACTCTTCAGCAACCTCACTTCATAGCCGCAATGGCAATCGAAAGCCGAACAGAAAACATGCTACCTGCTCTGCTATCTCTTGTCTTTTTAATTGCGCGGCTTTTGGTGCAACTTGGTATGATCCAGCAGACCGAGTCGAGTTAGTTAGGTAGCACTGAGCCGATGCCAAATAAGCACAGCGCGTTGTCTAGTCGATCGACGAATTAAAACCTGCACCTCTTTACTAGATATCTTGCCAAATACCTCAGATTGCCTCTGATTAAGACCAAAACTGGTCAACTGCTGCAGAATGTATCGAACTTCGCACCAAAACTAGTCAGCTTCTGTAGAAGGTATCGAACTTTGCACCAAAACTAGCCAGCTTCTGCAGAATGTATCGAACTTCACGTCTCGATCCAACTACTGACATACTATCGTTTACCTGAAGATTTACTAGCAATACAAGCAGGGAGCAGCACGTCAATGAACTCACCAATGATGGCACCAGCATCCAATTCAGAATATAAATTCATCAACATCACTGAGTCCATAGTATTGTGCATCCAGCATGCGTTGCCTAACACGACTTCTGCTCTCTCGTCGTGGCTGCAACCGCAGCAAAGGACGTGAATCCGTCTATCTTGGAAACGCCCGATGTTGTGGGCGCCGCTGTTGCAATTCCTGTCTCGTTTTCCTTCTCCGCAAGTCCTAGCACGTACTTGCGGGTGTACAGCCCCACCACGGCTAGTAGTAGCAAGGCACTGCCCACTCCCACAAGCAACAAGACCATCTCGGTGCGGTGTCTTGAGGCCGTTGGAGTGGCCAAGAGCACCGTGAAATTCTCAACTGCGTGCCCTGAGTAAACCCAAATAGCTGAGAACGGGAGTCCTGTTAATAATGCCGCCGCAAAATACACGTGGAAGGTAACGTCAAGTACACTAAGTCCATAATTCTTGACTGCAATGGGAAAAAAAGCCACACGCGTAAGGAAAACCACCAGCACCTGTCGTTTTCGTAGGAGACTCTGAAATCCCTGCAATGCTGGATGGCCTCGTACCATGTATTCATGTACCCGTTGTCGCCAGAAATACTTGCCAATACAGTACGAAACTACAGAACCCATTAGTTTACCTGTAGTAGCAAGGAATAGTCCTAGCCAAAAGCCAAATATATAGCCAGCTAGTAACTCAAAAACTGTCGATGGGAAACAAACTGCCACAAAGAATATAAAACTGCAGACATAAAGAGCAGCACCGAGCACTTGATGCAGTCGTAACCAATGCACAATGTGGTCAAACTTATCGCTGCATACGAATTGAAAGAGTAATAGACCACTAATTAGACCAAAGACTACAAGGCTTGATAGAATCAACATGCGTTTCGTAAAAGATAAACTAGAAGAAAAAGAAAAGGATGTCGATAACAAGTTGAGTTTTAGTTCTTGTTTCTCCTGCAATTTCTTCTCCTCTTCTTCTTCCTCTTCTTCTTGCTTTGCAGCATCCAAGTTAACAGGCGCGTACATGAAGAGTGATGGTCTTTTATATTAATTGAAAATTCGAGATTATTTTATTGATGGAGTAGGGTTATTGGTATCAAAAAGCACTTTTTCATAATCATTTTTGATGTAAAGATTGCGCTTCTTTTCTAAAATTGTGCTTTTTTTGTTATTCTGTTTTCTAGCCCAATCTTATGTTTGTTTACCTAAAAAAACCCAAACATATTCTTACAATGGACTGGCTAATGAAAAAAAAGGAAGAGGCCAAGCATGCGGCGGCCAAGATTTCTAACAAACGCACAGCTTTTCGAGGAGAGGGAAATGTATTGGGTGGTCATAACGTTTCTGAAGATAATTCGTCTGTATTACCTTTGAATAACACGTCCCGTAGCTTACCCATCAAGGTCGTTGGAGAATGCTCTTGAAACAATCTTTGTCGCTGTGTGGTTGCTGAAGCTCCTTATTTCTTGCATTATAGTTGCCATTTACGAGCAATAAACCCCCTGATTTATCGGAAGAAGAACAGAAGAAACGACGTGAGATACAGGTACGTATGCGTGTAGTAGTGAAAGATTTTACTACAAATTAGAAACGTATTCATTGTTCTTTTGTGAGATAGGCAAAAGCTCTGGAGCAGCGCAGTAATGCGTGGGATAAGCGCGTGGCTACTGCACGAAAAGCGAGGATAAAGCAGGAGGAAGAAGATGAGAACAAATATCAGTACACGGAACCAGTCACTACGAAGTCTAGCTCTCTTCCGCCGCCCGTGGTACTCACTGACGAAGAAGTTAAGGCCAGAGAGCTGCAGAACGCTCAGCTGCAAATGGGATTTAATCCGTACGAAGCGACCTTTGCATCCTCGGTACAGGCGGTCTCTGCAATGAATGCTATTGGCGGTGAAGCGATTGCTCTGTCTTCGGCAAGTGGCGGTGCCGTCCACTCATCTCTTTTACCCGATGGTGAAATTCCTCATGTTGCAGGGTACGAGAATGGTTCAACGAGCTTAGACGCTGGTGAGAATACTGCGATATACGTGCTGCTTCGACAAGATCCTTCGCTTGCTATGACAGCGGCGAAAACTCTGATCAAGATGTTGACCAACGTTATCAAGAATCCACAGGTTTGGCTATGCATTTTTTACGGAAAAGTACCATTGTCTTACTTTTTTTCGACAGGATGAAAAGTTTCGGAAGATTCGGCTTGCGAACGCATCTATTCAGTCAAAGCTTGTGGCTGTACCTGGCGCCATTGACATTTTTGCAGAAACTGGGTTTTCAAGGGTTAGCTTGAATGGCGATGCCTATTTAATGTTGGCTACTGATGTTTTCGAGGCGGAGCGTGTGCAGTCCGCGATTGACCGCTTAGAAGTAGCGCTCGCTCAGCTCCAGCATGATTTTGCGTAGAAATTTCTGTAAAAGCAGCGGTACCAGTCTACCTGAATACGATGGCGATGCTGCAATTGTGGGCCCATGAATTATGGTTGGCTTGAACTTGACTACGTTTCTTTGTGTCAGCAACGTATTGCTAACAAGTTTGTTATGCTAGATGCTCGCACATCTTACGGACACGAATGTTTAGAAGAAAGAAGAAAAAAAGGTTCAAATGACTGATAAGTCTTGGGGATAAATTTTTCATAGCAATCGTTTAAAAAATGATACCACGCTGTGGCGTTAAGGTTTTTTAAGATGCTTAGAGAAGTGCAGCAACCACTGTCGCGAGCACTGCAGTAGCACTGCAGGTTGAAAGAGTGGGAGCATCGGCACCTCCGTTTCCAGGTGCAGGAGTCGGTGTTGATGACGGTGGGCCGGAATTTGGACGTGTGTTTGGCTGAGGTGTACTGGTATGTGGGTGGTTCATTGCTGATCCAGACATGCTTGCGCACGCAGATGCGGAACCAACATCACCATCCATGGGGCCTGAACCTGGTGCACTCAATGACCCGGACCCCCAATTTGTGCCGCAGCGCTGCGATAGTGGATTGATCACATCAGCGTACAGACGCAGGGGGCCGATAGTACATTCGTTTGGTGCGACTTGCTTCAAGGCGTTGATTGACTCCTTGCACGCGTCACTCTCGCAAATTGCAGTGATCTGTGCATCTCTAGGTATTGCTAGAGACGTGAGACTGTAACCAGAATCTGCGTGACAGGTTCTCACATTTCCAGTCACAGTAAGCTGTGACAAAGCAGCAGTGTTGCATGGAGCAGCAGCTACACTCACAAAAACGACTGCGGCGCTTAGAATTAGGGTAGAATAAAATGTTGTCTTCATCCTATGGCAAGCGATGTTATAGATTGCGACCAAAGCTGACAAATTCAAAATGAGACGACCGAGGCGCAAGCGATGTGCGTTCCTTGTTGAGGCAGTTAAATTGGAAGCAAATTCATTCCATAGTGCTGCACCGTTGGTGCGACGTGGGCCAATTTGAGAATCTGCATAATTGTGTGGAATTGTGACAATAAGACATTCTCATTTGAGCTTTTGGAATGGGCAAATTAGCTTGAAACCCACTAGAGGTATGGCCTGAATGAACAATGCGATGCAGACAGCATAAAGCCGCAAATTTACGTCGCATTGGGCAAAGGTTTGCCTCCCGGTTCTTGTCGATAAAAACTCGCAGATCAGTGCATTTTTTAATGGTTGCGTTGGGGCGCTCTTCAAACGCTTCTGACAAGCTGATAGGTAAGTAATATCTATAGCCAGCACCACGGAAGTGAGCGACATGTGCACATAAAAATAATGCCACAAGACGCTTGTCAAGTCGGTATTGGCATAAAACAAGTGAACCGTATTGTGGCAAGTTTGTGTTGAGAAAGTCGAGAGCATGAAAACACAAGGATCATATTTGTCGTAAAGCCTATATGTGGTTATATAATATCATTGCTTGCTGTCTTCATCGTCAAACTATCGGCAGTGAAGATAACGCCATCGTAGTGTGAGTCTTGTGCGACTTTCCAATCATGAGGTCAACCCAGACAATGTCCTAATTCTGCTAAATCTGCACTGAACGATACAAATAGACATTGGAGATTAGCAAATTGGTTTGAAAAGACAAATGTAAGCTCTACCGACTACTGACCATTCGGCGAAATACAAATTGCAAATTGAAGTAGCAGGAGTGGTGCACTAGAAAGAAGGTAACAATTTGAATTACTGTTAGAGCGGGTTGACGGTCCACAGCTATAAGAAACTACGAAGTTGAAGCTTTTCAAAGTTGAGAACTGACACTCCGTCTGCATTTGTTTTACAGTGTTGTTTGGTACATTGTTTTGACCGAAAGTTCGTTTTCTGCTTACAGCGCGTGATATTACTGCAGTAATTTTGGTGTTTCTCTTTCTGCGACTACAGTCACAATGGACTGATGTTCTTAGCGACAAAATAGTTGGCCATGGCGTTTGCATAGGATGTGTCTGTAGCATCGGAACACCGATCCGACCGTTCAACGTAGCGGTAAGTGGGCAGCATCCGATGTGCGGTGCGGTTCTCACCTGAGATCCGCGTCTTGTCGTAGATAGAGTGTTGGCCGTGCGCCATGAGCAGCAGCGTCTGTCTTAGCAAATCCATTTGTCGCGATACAGGCATGGAATGGGAGCGTGTGGAGACGGACGCCTCGTCAAAGTACTTGGCCATATTGTGCGCGTAGGATGCTTCAAGTTTGCTACTGGAATTCTTGCGGCGGTCCACAGGCAACATCCGATGCGGAGTGCAGTACTCCCCTGACATGCGTGTGTTTTCGTAAATAGTGTAGCGGCTGTTTGCGAGCGCTAGTAGTGCGGCATTTAGGTGCGACGTAGAGGTAGCAAGCGTTGGCAGGGATGACATCATGTGCTTTATCGTAAAATACAGAATGAATGCATTTGGATCACTTTAGACATTCATTCGCATGAACCTTTTCTACACTTGATTCTGTACTTTTAACGTGAACAACGTGCTATAAGCACGCAATCAAAAAAAAAAGCATGTTGAAGTCTTTCATACAGCATAAATACCGGTTTTATTGATGAGAGGTATGACGGCAGCACAGTAGTGCGCGTCAGCAATAAAAAGAAACCCATGTTGAAGTTGAAGTTACGACACTCGGCCGCGACCTCAAGCTAATATTATGTCAAGTACATGAAACAGAAGATGTTTCTCATGTTCGAATACAAAAAAGCTTAGAAAAGCCACTTGTAACGGTGTAGAACAGCTGTAGAACAGCTTTTGTGTAAGAAAGTACCAACATTGTTGTATTGACTGGAAGAAACCCAATCGAAAACAATTAAATCTACTATTCATTTGTACAGATATTTGTAGATAATTTTCATGTCGTTTGCCTTTGTAATTCATCAAGTACGCACCCTTTTGAAAAAGAACAACTCATTTAGAGGCAAGTTATCATGATGTATAAGCCAATCTGTCTCAATCTAGTTCAGTTCAAGCGACCACAGCCGCAAAAAGAAGGGTAAATGACATCCGTCCTATACATTCAATGTAACATGGATCAAATTTGCAGACTCTTATTGCCATAATAGCTGACAAGATGCACGTTTATATCAAGAATTGCCTACATTGGTATGCACAAGATGGATTGCCTTATCGCTATAACATTTGATGTTATGTATCTACAGCAAGCTGTCGATCTCGCCTTCTAATGAAACATTATAGTATAAAAAATACAATAAGAAAAGCTCGAAAAGGTCGTTTCAATCAGCTGTAAAAACAAGTCAATCCTGTCACCCCCTCTATCTATTTGTTTTTACAAATACTTGTTATTCAAGAAAAAACACACACCAACAAATTGTTGATATTTTCGTCAAAATCCCAAATTTTACAACTTTTGTGCTTTATAATTTGGTAAAAGTTTGAAATCATCGTTTACGTGGCAAAAGGCCAACATGAAGATACCTAAGTTTGACTTTTTTCGGTGCGTGATACGTCGTTCATGCTCATCATTTGTGTTCATTTGAAATCTGTATCGATAAACATCTTTTATCTGCATTTCTAACATCCAACTCTTGTGTCTTTACTCGCTCTGATCGTATCAAGACACGTACCTGATGATTTAAAAGTTCATACATTTAGTGGCAGTATCTTTTCTTTACTGTCTTTTCTCGTCATGGGAATACTAATCATCATTCATTGGAAAGCATACAGAGAGCAACATACTAAGACAACAGTTGTCATGGATGAGCATCAGGAAGATCGACTGCGTGTGAATTTTAACGTGAGTCTCTTGAATGTCCCATGCACCGTGGCTAGCGTGGACTTGGAAGATCACATGGGACAACGTTTTACGAATCTGACGCGTCATATTCGTCATTTTCGTCTTGCAACTGATAAGACGACCCATGACCTACAGAGAATGGATGAAGTTGTCATTGACAATCATGAAAAGGGTGTCCCTGTCTGGGGAGGTGTTCATCATGATACTAAAGGAGCCAACGTCCACTACTCAATGCCACTGAATAGCAAAACATTTGATGACTTTATGGCCAAGTACGAGCTTGTGCTTGTCAACTTTTACGCACCTTGGTGTCCATTCTGCCGTCAGCTTCACCCTGAGTGGGAACGAGCTGCAGCGCAGTTGCCTGACCACCCGGAATACAGTGAAATGGTGCGCATGGCCTCAGTGGATTGCACTGATCCGGAAGCTATGTCAATCTGTCGTCGCGCACATATCCGTGCCTTCCCGTCTATGCTCATTTACATGTACGGAAGTACGTCCACGCGCTTTATTTACAACGGGCCACGCAGGACGGAACATATACTTCTGTTTTTGGATCTCTTTTTCCGTCGCCTTGAGCCGGATGCTGATTTTGCTGAAGAAGTAAACATGAACAGGGATCGTCTTGGCTTACCGCTGCCTATGCGTGTGAATGGGGAAAATTTAGAAGCAATTGATTTTAAGAAGCGTCACCCTTCGAATTTTATACAGTCTAACGCTGTTGAGGGATGCGAAATTTCAGGAAGTATCAGTGTTAATCGCGTCCCCGGTGTGTTGGTATTCACGGCACGGTCTGATGACATGTCATTCGACGCGCAAACTATCGATACTTCTCATACTGTGAACCACTTTTCTTTTGGTCAAATGCGACGTACAGAGAACCTGTTCGTTGGAGGCAACAATCTACTCGCAGCACCGTCGAATCGCTATCCTCTTGATAAGAAGACATACACTACTGAGAGCGAAAGCACCACGGTGGAGCATTTTTTGAATGTAAGTGCACGTAGATATGGAAATAAGGTAAGTAACTGGCTGAGTGCTAACTAGATCTACCCCACCGTCTATGTCCTTCCTTGAACACAGGTGGTCGGTTTTGACAACCCGAACAATATTAGAATGACGCACTTGGTGCAACGGTCGTATGAGTTTTCGGCGACGACCACTCGATACAATGATAAGCAGCCATCCGCGCTATTTAAGTTTGACATCTCTCCGTTGGTGGTGCAGGCCGTGGCCGATAACATTCCATTTTATCATTTCATCACCGACCTGTGTGCGGTGATTGGTGGCGTGTTTACTATTCTTGGCCTTATAGACTCGGGTGTTTTCCATGCCATGAACTCTATCAAGAAGAAGCAACAAATTGGAAAGCTATCGTAGAGATAAGCTGTCACTGCATACCTTTGCTCATACATAATCATGTGGAAAGAAACGAAAAATGAAGGAAAGAACTAGTCTATTTGATTGTACTGTCCTAGGAAGTTTGCACGAACACAAGCTACATCAATAGACCATCTATTTTGGTCTTTGCGCATCAAGGTAGTACTTCACAGCGTCGAGTTTCCGAAAGTGCTGCGTAACGGAAAAACCCCACACGTAAATATTTCCCAAGGCGCAGCTCACTGAGATCATCATGAGTGGTAGGAACGGGTATCGCGCACTAATGCGTGGGATGTACGGGAATACCGCTGCCAGCAAGACAATGCCAGCTAGCCCAGCGAGAAAAACCCGCTCAAATAAAGACATGCCAACGGCGGTTATCTTGATATGTCTCTCTTTCAGCGAGTGCTTGAGCAACGGGACAAGCACGACCTCTGCCAGCAATGCATGACATGCACCGAGAAGAACTTTCGATCCCTGTTCGGCAGGTGTGAACAGCAATGGGAAGAGAGAGATTGTCGCAACCCCTGATGCAAACCTGTATAGCCGCATGCTAGCAACGCTGTCAGCAGCCATGAGAGCCATCGGTAGTGTGACCTGCAGGATTGCCTTCTCGTGCACGTGATACCCTAGCAGGAATGAGCACAGCATACAGTATGCGAGCGCGCTAGTAAAAAGCGACGAGTCAGGGTATTTCCAAACACTCCGTAGCACCGGCGTCATCATGGCAAACGTTAGCGCTGCACACACTAGAGGTGACACAGTGGGTAGAACCGCAAAGCTTGCCTCCTGCACAAGCCCACCGCTCATAAGAGCAACACCATCCGTTTTAGCAGGAAAGCCGAGAATCACGAGCACTTTGTCAAGAAAAATGTACAGCGCCCAGACGTTAGGCGCCCAGTACGAATGACACAGTCCTCTCTGAACGGGAAACAATCGAGTCAAGATCTGTTTCATGCCAGCAATCGGGTCCTCGTGATCCCACAGAATACTTCCAAACGCGACCGCGAACACTGCGAGCACCATCGCCCCTAGTTTCACAAAGTTAAGAAACGAGAACGTCACGTTACCATCATGGAGATTCTGAATCGTCTTGTGCACATCAGTACTTGAAATTGACCTCTTTCTAAGAAGCCTTCCATTCGGATCTTCATCACTATCGGATGAATCGGAACCCGGTTTCTTAACGTAGCAGTAGTGTCTCAACAAGTAGATGAAATACAGTGGCACTGCATACAAGTAAATGTGTTTGAACATGAGCAGGATAGCATACAATAAAGCTCCCATAAGGTCTTGTTGCAATCGAAATTTGGTGGCCGATAGGATCAAAAGGCCCAGCAGCATTCCATTATACTGAAAGTGGATGTGATCTACATAAATCAGACCTGCATCCAGCACTGTAATAAGCATAATTGCCAGTCGTTTAGCTTTTGAAAAAGCCCACTCGGTTGTTGTGACTGTAGGCCAGGATGAGCAGTAAGCATGTAGAGCGTAGAATAGTACCACGTCTGATACGATGACGCTTAGACGCTGGAAAAACACAAGAGACGAGGAGAAGACGGGTACTGAGCTAATAGTAAGCATAGTATTGTCCACTGTAGCAGCAGCTACAAAGCTCAGTGCGTACTCAAAGTATGCGAAGAACGGCGGGTAATCTAGTGTCCACTCGCTCGTGTGTTCATGGTACCAAAGACGACGTGGCAACTTATGGGTAAGGCTCAGCCAATTACGATGCACTTCAAAATCTGTGCTAGTGTAAGAAGGTATTAGTAGCAGCTTTAGACACACGGAAAAGAGGAATAAAGCCACGATGGACGCGTCGAGCTCTTGCCTCTGACGACAAGTAGCTGCTCGGGACGTCATATGATGCATACAGATGTACGATTGGTAAAAAAGATGGTAGATACATTAAAGCGAGGGAAGTAAAGATAGTGACATATCTTGAAGCTAACCTACATTCCTAGACCTGCACTCTAGCAATGACACCGTATACAAGAAATTCTTTTCTCCTGTAAATACCATTTAGAAAATACATAACAAACGCAAGTTTTTGGCTCGTCGTCACACAGCAAAAACAAACTTATACATTGACCCCGTCGCGGGTATTTAGCTGTTAAAGTAATGCATTATGTGCAAGATAATGGAGAAACCCACGTAAAAGCAAAAAATTATAAATCCATAGCCTTTTCCCACCTTTTGCGTCTGCTCGAGGATGCGGTTGCTCTACACCATTCGACCATAGTTGTGAGATCAGCAGCAATTCAAGAAATATGCGTTTGCACATCCAATATCTCACCTGAGAGACGTTCGACTTTGTCTCTTGCGCGTGGTGCTGGATAAGCTCGATATCCGTCTGCTGCTCCATAATTTTATCTGCAAATTGACCCATGAGGTTGGAAATCTCAGTCATCTTAAATTCCATTTTTCTGTTTTAACCCATACATAAGGCGGTAGATTAGCTACAATGATACACGTATGATCGATTACTGCAGCAACCCACTTTGCATCCTCAAGATTTTCTTGAAAGTGTCGATGTAGCAACACATTTTCAGCACGAAAACGGCGGTTTTCCTCCTTGGTGAACTCAAGTTTCTCGTTCTTTGGGAGCACCAGTCCTTGTTGCTGCAGTAATTGTTTTAGAAAAAACAGTGGTCATTAAACAGAATAGCGCGCACATCAATCCGCATGGATGTCAGTTCAAAACGCACCTGAGTTGTTCTCACCAAATCTTGAGCTTTTGAGGCACTGCGCCGACTTTCTTTTCGATGCTTTGCTGGTGATGCAGCCAATGGTGATACCGAATTAGCACGGGATGCAGACGTTGTCGAGTCTGTCGACTTGGGTGACAAGAGTACCGAAGCTTCAGCTTTTGTTAAAGACGTGGCCGAAGCCTCTTTCATTACAGCTCTCTCCTTGTTCATATGAGCTAGCTTTTGCTCCAATATATCCAGCTCTTGTCGTTCATGTTCTGGCAACAACCTTCAAAAACATCAATGCTCCCGAATCCGTTAGCCAGACTTTTCAGCAGTAAAAATCCACCACGTCTCGATAAAAAATGACAACCTTACCGCGGTGACACTATAAAAGGCTGCTTATATCTTCTCTTTTGCATTTGCTTCGCGCTGTCTGCAACACAGTTTAACCGCTGCAACAAAATTCACAAAAATGACCATACCATTACATTTAAAGCCTCCGCTCTCTCGCAGCTCAGCCACGGCTTCCTACCTCGAGCAAATACGCCACGACCTCTTTCTGATGCTCCTGTACACTTGAAATCACAGCTATAAGAAAAAAAACGTATCAGCAATAAGCATGCCTACTGTAATTCGTTACATTTCACCAAATGTCGCTACAAACTCACGTTGTGCGTCTTCCATCGACATCAGGATAGTTATTCTGCTGCTGCACTTCTTTATAAGTTCCATTAGATCCTATAATGACATGCACAACAATCAGAAATCTCTCTGTCCTGAAGAATGTGTCCAATCATGGGTTTATCATACAGTATCCAGCTCATCCTTCTCGTCTTCACTCATTCGAGATCCTTTTATCCGGATAAAGCGCTTAGGTAATAGATACTGAGGTTTTATTCGATACAACAACGTTTCCAACTCCAATATATTACTCAGCTAGCAATAAATTACAAAGTAAGTAAAGTAAAATGGTACAAGGATAGAAAATATACAAAAAAATGAGATTAGTTTCTGACTGTCATACTTCGATCAAGAATATATTCTGAGCATCAATACACGCACCAAATCCATTGCTTCAATGGAGATGACGCTGAGTTTCTTTGGTACAGTAGAAGGATATACCGGAGCCAGCTCTCGGAAGTGTGAGGTCACATCGACACGCATTTTAATTCGAAGACGGTGAAAGATAAATTGTTGAGGCCGGATTGGCTAAAAAGGTTTTCATTGGATTAAGTTAATTTGAAATTGCAACTTTGCAAACATGGATACACTACCCAATTGGACGGTCAAATGGTATTATTTACATCGATGATACCTAAATTAATGATACGATTAAGACCTTATCACTCATTCAGACTTATTATATAGTCATGTCTTACTTGGGAAATAAATAATAAGACCATGACACGTGCATCCACGTAAATACGTCTTTATCTTAAGATTAACTTTTCACCATAGATTTGGAGTTAAAATCAATACTAGACTGCGCACTGCTAGTCGAATTAGTTTAAGGCTGTTTCGTCCATTACGCTCGGCTTCTTAGCACTAGAGAGATATTGGTAGTAAAGTATGCAAGTAATACGTTCACTAGTTCAGGTAACGAGTAATCAATCGACACCCTTTCTAGATCAATACAGTAGAAATGATCAAGTTACATTGTACTGTGATTGCCTTATCACTTGGGGCTAGTCATATTTAGTGACGGCTTTCAGGGTTGCCGTGCTATGATTCGTTGGCAGAGTAGCAGCAGTCGTATGCCGTTTGTGGACGTTTCTGCACGCCGGTTCTCGTGCTTACCGATTGTAAAGAGTTGTTGCATGCCGATTTCCCTGAACTCATGAATGCTGCCCTTGATGGTCACGTTCGCCAGTGACATCTCCCGCTTAAACTCGGCACCATTCGATGTGACGGGTGACTGTATACGACTGGTATCTCTTTCAATTAGATACTTGCCTAAAATTCCACCAAGATTGCTCCATAGTCCCTTCTAGTCGTTGCCCCAGCCGAACATGGTGCTCCTCGCGATCCTCTTCCGCCGTAACTGATAACAGCTTTTTTCTCGTTATTAAAGGCGCTCTGGTCTGCATACAGAGCATTGGTGTACTTCCTGTACGTCTCGCATTTATTCACCGTCTTGATACATGCTAGACACCGTTAAGCTTACTTATATTGGTCTCATGTTGCTGCCTTTACCGCCTGACCGACTTCCGCTGCTATAAGCTCGTCCAGGAGCTCCGCTAATGACCCGCGTAGGCTGCGCAGTCTTAGTACGATAAGCCACAGGGCGTTGCTTTCCCGTCGGACCGGTATGTTGTAGCCGTACCCGCTGATGGTCAGAACGTAGGGGTAGCTCTTCCACTAACACCCACTAAGTGCCTGGTACTGCTGCTTGTAGTGTCTGCAGTTTAATATTCTTCGTTACCCATCGGGCTTTTGGCTAGGACTATTCCTTGGTACTACAGGTAAACTAATGGGTTCTGTAGTTTCGTACTGTATTGGCAAGTATTTCTGACGACAACGGGTACATGAATACATGGTACGAGGCCATCCAGCATTGCAGGGATTTCAGAGTCTCCTACGAAAACGACAGGTGCTGGTGGTTTTCCTTACGCGTGTGGCTTTTTTTCCCATTGCAGTCAAGAATTATGGACTTAGTGTACTTGACGTTACCTTCCACGTGTATTTTGCGGCGGCATTATTAACAGGACTCCCGTTCTCAGCTATTTGGGTTTACTCAGGGCACGCAGTTGAGAATTTCACGGTGCTCTTGGCCACTCCAACGGCCTCAAGACACCGCACCGAGATGGTCTTGTTGCTTGTGGGAGTGGGCAGTGCCTTGCTACTACTAGCCGTGGTGGGGTTGTACACCCGCAAGTACGTGCTAGGACTTGCGGAGAAGGAAAACGAGACAGGAATTGCAACAGCGGCGCCCACAACATCGGGCGTTTCCAAGATAGACGGATTCACGTCCTTTGCTGCGGTTGCAGCCACGACGAGAGAGCAGAAGTCGTGTTAGGCAACGCATGCTGGATGCACAATACTATGGACTCAGTGATGTTGATGAATTTATATTCTGAATTGGATGCTGGTGCCATCATTGGTGAGTTCATTGACGTGCTGCTCCCTGCATGTACTGCTAGTAAATCTTCAGGTAAACGATAGTATGTCAGTAGTTGGATCGAGACGTGAAGTTCGATACATTCTGCAGAAGCTGGCTAGTTTTGGTGCAAAGTTCGATACCTTCTACAGAAGCTGACTAGTTTTGGTGCGAAGTTCGATACATTCTGCAGCAGTTGACCAGTTTTGGTCTTAATCAGAGGCAATCTGAGGTATTTGGCAAGATATCTAGTAAAGAGGTGCAGGTTTTAATTCGTCGATCGACTAGACAACGCGCTGTGCTTATTTGGCATCGGCTCAGTGCTACCTAACTAACTCGACTCGGTCTGCTGGATCATACCAAGTTGCACCAAAAGCCGCGCAATTAAAAAGACAAGAGATAGCAGAGCAGGTAGCATGTTTTCTGTTCGGCTTTCGATTGCCATTGCAATTGCGCGGCTATGAAGTGAGGTTGCTGAAGAGTGACCCAACGTGTTTACAGTGCGACGTGGCTGCGACGGTCATGCTGTTCCGGGTAGAGATGACGACTTGAACGACTCATTATTGCCTCACAGGGACTTTTAGGCCAACCGGGAAGCTTGACATTTCGATGGATAGATTACCTATGACGCTAGCGTCCGAAGATCTGTAGTAGAGCATTAGTGTCTGCACAGATGCTAACATCGACCCAGCTGGATAAACTGGAGTTGATGGATCTCGGGACGGGATACCTGTTAGTTCTCTCGTCCCAAGTGGGCACAGTAAGGGAAACTGTCACTCGAGAGTTGCTGAGGATGTCACAGGCTACGCAGTGCGTGGCATTATGACAGCACTGATGGACTCTACTGGGCTGGAAGCTACGCTAATAATGGACGTACTCACTGGTCGAAGAGTGGAATGTGCAACAACAAGAACAAGTGTGATACATCGACTCCATGTGGGGTGTACTCCTAAATGTTGTTGATGCGAGAAAACATCGGTGCGTTGGCGCACTTGTTGTTGTGAGCAGATGGACGTGTGTTTCGATACAATATGCCACTTTCCGTGAGGCGCTGCCCTTTTTGCATATCTTCATTAATGCAATCGGGTAGCACCTGAAAAGTCGCAATGGTGTCGATGGGTGTCTGGATTTGAGGGCTGCAACTATCCCGCTATTGTGCTGGTATTCGAGGCTAAATTGCTGCACATCGTTCTGCCCGTTTAGGCGCGACGGTGCCGTGCGATGATTTTCTTTTTAAAATCTTCTTTGGTGTTGGAGCTTACGTTTTACATGCTACCATTGGCATTCGAAGAGCGTGGTCCATACTATTGTGAGCACGGTGAATAGCGCGCTGTGGTGCTTTGCAGCTTCATGGGCAGTGGAAATACCCACACTGTCTATGCCTTCAATATTCGTCGTGGGTATGTTTGACTGATGGTTTTCCGTGCCAAGACGTACATCGTCAGTTTATTACGCTCTCCATGCGCCGACAAGACATGCAAGTGTCTGGACAAAGGTCTTTGACTCCATTACTCCTATGTTCATGGGCTAATCCGCCCATGATAAGTTTTCCCCGACGGATACAAGGGACCGTGCTAGCTCTTAAACACCGCTACATCTTTGAGGTGTTCGCAGCGGAGATTGTTCTGATAAGTAATTGCAGCAGATTGCAGAAACTGCTGCCTCCTACATCACGACAATGTCTCGAGTTGGTAGATAGACTGCCCAACCACTCACAAACACGCTTCTCGCTGCGAAGTCTTTGGAGCTCGACATGAAGCCATCAATTGCTCGGTCACTATCGTTTGGACATCCTGTTAATGATGCGGTTGGCAACACTGGTCGTCATGCGTGTTGCTGATCTCCAGTAGCGATGAACGAGGGCAGTTGGTTGTGAGTGAAGTCATGAGTTGTTGATTTGAGCTTCATTATGCTGTACTAGTACCGAATTTACTATGAAGCAGATATAAAGGAATGAAGAGTTAGTAGCAGTGATGGCAAGCAATTTCACACAAGACGAAAGCAATGCATGTATAAATAAGTAAGTGTATATGAAAAGCGCAGTCAACTAAACCAGAATGTCACCAACTACCGCCACTACCGCTCTGCTTCCGTCTTTCTTTCAGGCTGGTTAAAGTCAATGGTCATTCGCGGTCTCGGCTCTTTTCTGATAGTCCTGGTACCGTTTTAACATCATCTTGAACTCTGTCGTGTCCTCGATAACGTTAGGATTGAAGCTGACCCGGCCCTTAGCTGTCCACATTTTAAACAGCTCTTCCAGCAACTTGCTTGCCAGTTCGTCAGAATCGGCCTTCGCACAAAGTTTTGAGGCAAGTTGTACCTCATCAAGTTTTACCTCATTAATTTGTTTCACCAGCTTGTTGACCATGATCTCATACGGTTTGGGAATATTAAGCCACTGGGCGTAATCAGCCCAAATCTGTAGCTTACTAAAAAAATCATCGAGATTGAAATCATTGACAATGCCTATTTCGACAAACGCTTGGTCCCAAGTTCCCAGGCTTTACTGTCTTTCACAACGAACAACGCAAGCCACCTGAAAAAGCCTGGGTGTCGTCAAAGGTTCGTATACTGAAGGCATAACGTTCAAAGTCTTGAACACATCGTCCGCAGATTTACCTTTAGCAACCCAGTCCATCAGCTTATCATCATATAGTTTTGCAGCAGTCCTTAGAACCTCAACCAGCGCATCATCAAAGTAATGATGTGCGACGGTCCAGCACATTTCTTCATGAGCTTTCTTCTTGTTGAAACGGTACAAGAGGAAATCTACCCACCAGGAAAAGACCGGGTCTTAGTAACTTTGACGTCTCTCTGGTGAGGCTTTAAAGCATGAACACATCGTTCGCAGGATTTCTTCTAAACCGATACCAATATTTGAATTGGGCATATTTCAATCCTTTGGCAATGTTTTTCGCTTATTCATTGACAAATCCTGCACTCAAGACCTTGACCAGGACGTCCTCCTGGCCCCTGTAATAATGTTCCAAGGCTCGAATGATATAATAAGCGCGGTAATTGTGGGAGGCAGCAAAATCTAACCACATATAAAACCCCGGTCTATCAAGTAGCTTTTCAGGATGTTTGTGGAACTTAAGAATTTCAAACGTAGCATACAAGTTTTTCCCCGCCAACTCACACCACTTCAACCGAATTTTCGCGATGATTGTCGATAGACTGGGTTTCAGTTTGGTGCCGAATTCACGGAGTCCGGATTTCAGTGGGGTGCCAAATTCACGGAGTCCCGAGATGTCATCCCTCTCTTCTGAAAGATCATTTGCTGGCATGGCCGCGTTTGCCTTCAAATGCCTCTTGACCGGGACACTATCGTAAGTCGCATATAGCAATTTCAAGGCATCTGAGCGGCGTGTGGTCCCTTCAAACATCGAGTCTACGGTTATCACGGTTGTAGCTAGATATACAAGCAACGCAAAGATTACTAGCACCGTCGCGCAAGAAAGGCGAGTCGCGCTGGTCTTAACTGCCATTCTTAACACTGTAACAAGGTGCGCTTGGTAGAATGTCAAGTGATGAGGTTGTATTTGACCTTGTACTCACTGGCACAGGATCAGATGCAGCTCCATCTCGAATTGGTTGCATCATACAAACAATCATTCGAGTCTTTCAGAAACTGGGCTTAAGATCAGATTTATCCTGGCTAGATGCACAGATTCATGGCTACCTTCTTTACAAATCTCTAGTCTCTCATGCTTCATTCAATCAATTACTGCCGCAATTTGTCTCGCTCGATTGGCTGAGTTATGTAGTTCAAACTACTGTGTCGACCTTGGTCTACCACCGCATACGTGCAATTAGTTGTCAATCGATGGGCAATCATGAGTTGCAGTTGTACGTGTCGCAGGTCTCGGTTGGCTGCTGTTGTCACTAAACTGCGCTTTCAGTGATTGCAGATGGAGTCTACCGTCAATGTAGCGTGTGTCACAACCACAGATTGGGTTGGAGCATGTTAATGATCACAACTTCAAACAATAAAAACCATTGCTAGCGCTAATCGTCCAAGTCCGGCCGATAGTGAGATAGTCAGTATCAGTCAATTCGTTATCACTGTCATATGTGACATTGGGCATAAATGTAAATACTTTATAGTTTGCGCAATTTCGAATCCTTATTTCAAGCCAATCAATGTCATTTCTACCTCATTTCTAATTCGTAACAAGCAGGAACGATGGCTGATCTTCTAGCTGCAGTTACTGCGACGCCGCATAGGATTAATTACCAGGAAAATGGCGTGATCATTGGTCTAAATAACGAGCAACTTATGGAAATAAAAGAACAGGCCATTGCATATGCAGCAGCTCATGGATTGTTAGTCAGCTGGCGTGATCCAAACAAACCTCAGGAAATGACACGTGCTTTTATCCATATTCCCTTTTGTTTGCTACCTGTACAGGTACTACATGAATGTATGTAAACGATATCAAATGATTGTCATCTGATTACATGTACTGTAGTTTTCTAGAAAGCAATTTGAATTCGGTATCGAGCTATCGCCAATTTATGGTCGTCTTGTGGACCGTGTGAGTCGTGACGTTGAATGGCTACATCACTGCGTCCAGAGTGTTGTGGCTGAGGACGCATTTACAGGACGATTACTACAACTATCAAGACAAGTGCAGAATGAAGGTGTTCAACAGCAGGTTTATCTCGGCATTCACCGCTCGGATTACATGCTGCACGAGACTCAAGCCGACGTGCCAAGTGTCTCACAGCGGTTGTTACAGGTAGAGCTCAATACGATCGCGTCCTCATTTGCTTGCATCAGCTCCCTCGTATCGGGTATGCACAGGTTCGTCTTGATGCGCTGTTGAATTCTTGATTCTCGTGTGTCTTTTTATCTGACTGTACTCCGAATGCAGTTTCTTGCTCAATCGTTTTGGAGATATTCCAGCATTGGAAAAGCATTACGGCATTGCATTCAGTGACTATTCGAAGGGGTTACCGCAAAACGACGCAATCTTGGAGCTGCCGAATGCGCTTGCAGCCGCACATAAACATTATGGTGTCAAGAAGTGCGTTCTTTGACTGGTCGATGTATCTTGCTTGTCGCTAATCACCAGTTTTGTATCTTGATACTATTGATACAATGAACAGCGCTGTGATAATGTTCGTGGTGCAGCCAAACGAGACCAATGCTATTGACCAGCGCTGGCTCGAATACAACCTGTGGGAGCATCACGGTATTCGCGTGCTGCGTCGTTCGTTGACTCAGATGGACGCGTGCGGCAACCTGGTAGAGCGCAATGGCAAGCGTACGCTCGTTCTCGATGGATGTGAAGTCGCTGTCGCATACTTCCGCTCCGGATACACGCCAAACGACTACCCCACTGAGCAGGAGTGGGCTGGCCGAACGATCATAGAACGGTCGTACGCTATCAAGTGTCCGTCAATTGCTTACCACTTAGCTGGCACCAAAAAGGTGCAACAAGTGCTTTCGCAGCCCGCAGTCCTTCGTCGTTTTGTTTCCGAGAACGAAGCTTTGCAACTGGAACGATCGTTTGCTGGTCTCTATGGACTCGAAAAACACGCACCAACCGTTGAAGATGTCAAGAAGATGGCAATCATGAACCCGCATTCGTATGTATTGAAGCCGCAGCGAGAGGGCGGAGGCAACAACTTGTACGGTGACGATATCGCTTCGGCAATTGAAAAGATGAGTCCTGGCGAACTGGAATCGTTTATCTTGATGGAGCGAATTTTCCCGAAGGAGAACCCCGCCGTCCTTGTTCGCAATAATTTTGCATCAAGTGGTTATACCATTAGCGAGCTCGGTATGTTCGTTACATGTTTGTTCGACGGCGAAGGAAAGGAGATTTTGAACAAGCACGCTGGTCATCTGTTGCGCACAAAGCTTTCAGGTACTGATGAGGGTGGTGTGGCTACAGGCTTTTCAGTCGTGAGCAGTCCGCTGCTTATTTAGAGAAATTCGGCAGACTGTCGGATGCCAAGTGAGTAGACCTAGAAACCAAGAGTACACTTGTATTCATGTTGAGAGCTAACGTGCCGCGATGGGTTAGTCCTAATTGCGTGATCTTCCATTCTTATGCTTTCTCAATGGCAGGACTTGTAAAGCGATCGTGCGGAGAAGGTTGCGGCCTGCAGCCAACCAAAATTGAGCTGAGAAGTTTTGTCCACCAAACCCAAAAGAAGATAAGTATGCAAGACTACCCTGTACATTTCTTCGAAATGCAGCATCATGACGGCAAATGCAGATCTACTAATCAATTGAGCACACCTGCAAAGAATCTGACGCAAACCCGTACGCACGGCGGTAATTGCGCAATGTCAATTCAGCATGCGCGTGTAGTAATGTCTAGTCCAAAAGCAGCGCTGGCTCATCGAACTAGTCAGCGCTTCATCCATCGCTCAAATTTCTGCAATAGTCGAGCAGATAGCAGCAGCTTGTTTGAACAAGCTTAAGCACGAAGCTGCTCGATGAGCCGAAAGAGCAGCCACTTCATAAGAGTAGCAATTGTTTTGCGGGTACTAGACAGCAACAACACAAATTGTCGCCAAGCAGCAGATTGATGCTAGCAAGAATCTGAAGAAACGAATGTCATTCAACCTACAAACAAAAAGCTCAAATCGAGGATGTACAAGTACTTTATGGAATTGATTCAACTACTGCTGCGTACCGGCAGAGTTGTAAACAAGGTGCCGTACAAGCAGCTTCGATGTCGCTGACCTTGTATGTACAGCAACGTCAATGCGTCAATGATATTTGCTGCCTGTATCGCTACTTCCGTTTCGACTTGGTAGCCTTCTTACTGGCCTTCTTGTTGACCTTGACGGGTGCTTGACCAAATGCTGACACAATGGTTTCATTCCAGGAATTGATAGACTTGCTCATATCGTTACGATCCGTCCATGGACGACGTAAATCACCCCAAGCTTTGTGACCAAGCAGTATCACCTTGACAATCTGTAATTGAAACAGGTTAAAAGGCTGAGTGACGGCTTGGATGACGAGTGGAGGAAAAAAGCCCCATTTCCAATGCATTAGTACAGTCATAACAGTACCCAAAGCATACTATAATCAAATATAACAAGTTGATCAACACAACAAGAGCATCAAAAGACAGGATATTGTCACATCAGTCCGGCTAAATTGACTCTAAAAGAAAATTCAGTCGATTGAATGATTCAACGTACACGTTGAATGTCCTTCCAGACCATGCGCTGATCATGTTCTGCGACCGTAATCTTCTCATCACGATCTCCTTTTTGACCTAGTCCAAGATCTTCTTTTACGGTAAGAACACCTGGTTCTGTATTTGTCTTGGCTTTCATATAGAGATACAACAAGATGCTATAGCAGAAAACCTGCGAAAGACCGTATATTCCACGTACGAGATTCGTTTGGACTGTAATATAAGCAGTATACAATACATTAGATGGAGCAACAAGAGCGATGAAAAGAGAGAGAGAGGTATAATACACACAGGAATCTTCCGGGTCGAGTAAAGAGCGCGTAAGAAATGCCAAAGACAGCGTCACGCCCATCAGCTTGAGATTGGGTGCCATTGGGTTTACTACTGATAGTACAAGAAACGATAAGAATTATAAAATAGTGTGAACCACATCAATATTTATTCATAATACTAAAATAAAGTATTTCGTGTAACTTCATATACCTGTTATATCATATACCTACTTCGTACAAATATTACATTATACAGTTTTTAACTATAATATAGCAAAATAATACAATCAAATACTATTCATTCCCGATGACGACGGAGAGCCCACCTCGTAATCCCTATGAATTTACCCGTGAAGATTATGAGAATCTAGTTGAACAAACACCAGATTCTCGTCTAAGTGAACGTTCAAAATATATGGAAGTTGAACTGATTGAAGATTGTACACTCTTTGATCTTTATCGTCAACCACGTGCTCCAATTACTGATCCCAAAGCTACCAAGACTTTATCAATGCGACAATTGAATGCAGACTTAACATGTCCCGTTTGTTTAGGTATTATTAAAGAAACGATGGTTGTTATGGAATGTTTGCATCGTTTCTGTCGTCAGTGTATCTCGACAGCTATTCGTCATAGTAAGCGCGAGTGTCCATCCTGTCGCATTCATATTCCATCGAAACGATCACTACGTCCTGATGTCACGTTTGATGCATTTATTGCAAAAGTACATCCAAATTTAGCCGAATTTGAACGTCATGAGGATCACATTATTCAACAAGTGAATCGAGCTCGACTTTATAATCATCAGCAGCAGACTCAGCAGCATTGTATGGGTCTTGGCTTTACTCAAGCAGGTGCTTCACGTCGTAATGTACGTCGTACGTATGTATTTGATAGATGCCAAATCCATCAACAAACCAACCAACGAGATGTATAAAAGACACAAGACAAGACAAGATACTTGGACAACTACTGAGTTCGATCTCTCTGCTTTGTTTTTGTTGTTTTTGCTCCATGATGCACACAGGATTGGAGAAAAAATCCAGAAAATACAACGTTATCACGACCGTCTTCTCCGTTGAATGGATCAAGTGGTCATTCACCACCGCTTGGCGAAAAAACGCAACTCACCAGATACGGAATCATCTGATGACAAGAGTGCTTCATCTGGTGATGGTCCAGAGGATGAAACAGCTCGCAAGAAACCTCGCATTGTGGCGTCTACGATGACTTCATCCTCTTTGAAATCAGACATGATAGACCGTGTAAACTTGCGTGTGCTACTACATGAGGATGAGCAGCCACAAGCACCCAAGTTGGAGCGTACACTCTTTACTACGTCATCCAAGCTCAAGATTCGTCACTTGAAGAAACACCTTGCTGCTCTGCTGAAGCTGGATACGTACGACAATATGTGTATTGTGTTGCCTACCGTAAACTGCATGCTTAGTGGCCTGAGTGAATCAGCCAAAGCCCAGGAGAGTGCTAGCGTTGTGATTCGACAAGACTTGCAGTGCGATCAAGAGCTCGAGGACTATGTGACTTTACACGATATTTATCAGCAGTACGGCATGGGCACGGCTTGGGAGCTACGCCTGCTGTATCATTTCTCCTCTGGCACTATCGTTAATGGCATTGCTCATTTCGTATCCGCAGTGTCTCGCACCACATGAGTGCCGTTAGACTTGCGCTGAACTTTTTAACTGCAATACAATGCTTGTCATTTCTAATCTCGTTTGTTGGCTACAGTAACATTGTACGTTTTCGTTGTTGCTGCTCGGTCTACTGAATTCATTCCGGCGTGATGACCTCCCTGACTCAAATCATACGATGGACAGTCTTCTTAGTACTCTGACTTTCTGGACTAATTACTCGTGCAAGCTCGACGCTAGCGAACTGAGCTCGTGTTCCAATGCGTCGTCTTGGTCGCTTACTCCAAAAGCTCTACTACCTCGAAAAAAAACACGAAGTCGCGCAAGGCACCATGCGGCATACCGCCTCGAAAACTGATTTCCACACTTCCAAGCAATCTCAATCTCCTTCAAAATCGCATGAACCATTGAAGACATTCCAAAATTGTCATTGCTTAATATCTTGATCGTTTCGCTCCACGACAAACTTAGAGCTGCAGCCTCGAACGACTCTGATTTAGCATCCGACAGTGTCTTTGCCACTTGAGATACTACCACAAGCACGAATGACAGATCGCTACTTGCTCTTTGCAACATCATCTTGAGCAAACGATGTATGATGTAGCGTCGATGGCACCACAGCGCTTCGTGCGTCAGGTAAGATGCCATGATTTCCGACACAAGCTTCAATTCTGCAAGAATCAGGTTCTGCAAGAACCTCTCCACATTACCAGTATCTTGGTGTTTTTTTGCCAACTCATTTAGGATGTGCTGGCGGTGGTTCCAGCCCGAGTGATCAGTTATATGCATTCGACACCAGTGTTCCATGCTATTAAGTTCCACGAGCATCAGATCCAGCGGAAGCCGCGAGACAATCCAATGACGAAAGCTCCATGCATGATAATTTCGTGGTTTTTGTTCTGCTAATCGACTGGAAACGTTTATCTGTTCATTGTAAAACATTTGTCGATGATTGTCTTCTAAATGTGATTCACACAGGCGAGTAGTTAACCAACGTCTGCACGAACAAATCAAACTTGTTAGGTCTCAATATCACAACCCATTACTGCTACTTCAATTTGTTCCTGCTACTTTTGAGTCATCTTTCGTACCGATATGCCCATGTATCAATGCTCTTTGGATGTAAAGTAAAGATTAAATTTGTAAATTGTACTTCATCCTGAACATTCAGCCAACCACGCGATACAAAGGACTTTCTAATGTTACAACAGTGAAACCGTCAGTTTTGTATCCAAACCATCTTTGCAGTCGTATCCATAGAGTTACTTCAGAACGGTTTTTACTTTACAAATACATTACGTCAATGAATGAAAACATCTTACCGAGTATTCCATGCAGTATAAAAATCAGCATTCAGAAGAAGAAGAGCACGTGTGCAGTGAAGTAACTCTTGAGTCATCTCGTTTGTTGCTTCGATCATATCTACATTTTCTTGATGGTAGAGTCCATTTAAGACGTGGAATCTCGTACGTGCTGCTTGAAATACTAGTACACTAGCTGTAAATGCTACACCAAGTTTATGATTCTCTAAATAAAAGGCAGTATCAGGTGTCACATTGCTCTCGTCAATAGTAAACACTAATCCAATTTCATTACTAAAAGTAGTAGTAGTAGTAGGAAGTAGTTGTGGCAATATAATCAAAAGAAGAAGAAGTTACTATAAAAAGTAGTTGAAATAGGAAGTAAAGCATGTACGGATCACGTACATAAGAGGATCTTGCTGAAAAAGACTTGCGAGCCGCGTAAGAAGGTCATTACCATTTATCATATTATGTTACTTAAGTAACAAAAAATAATAGTAGAAGGATGATACTGACCTCTTTTTGATACAAAATATGATACTAGTACCTTGTTATGTTCTAATCAGCAATTAACAGGGTGTGGCAAAATGTATTGAGATAAAAGAAGCTATTTGAGATTCGCAATACAATGAATGAATCCAAACAAATAATGACTGTTATACCGATGGTAGATGCACCAAGCTTCGTTTTGCAAACCCTTCCACACATTCATATCTAGCAGTCGGTTTACTTGAATCCATCCTTAACCATTGCAGCAGCTTCATTGAATTCAACTTCGTCCTCGTCTAAAGACAATGGTGCCAACATTGTGGCGGATGGTGAAATGATCTGAACGCTTCCGTGTTGAGTAAGCATCGGTGGTGCAGCTGCATTTGGCACTGTCATGAGCTCCGACACTGGCGAATGAGGATCAGCTTTTCCCACGAGCTCATCTGTTTCGTCCATTAAACCAGCTATACCCGACTCACCCGAAGCACCGGCTGTCGCAGTACTAGGAAGCGACAGCCCACGTAAAGCACCTATAGCACTGAGTGCCTTTATTTTCTTGCGCGCACGTTTCCATTTTGCGTGAGCAGTGAGCGTTGCATGAATGCGAAAGCCCTCCATAAATTCGTTTATGTTAATTTCGTTGTCATGGCTAAAGTCCATCATTCGCATGTAGTCCATGCCATTGGTACTAAACGGTTTCGTTCCAGGAGGCAAATGTTCATTCAGCAACTTTATACCATTCTCCAACTCATCGACAGATATAGTACCGTTTCCATCACGATCTAGCACGCGGAAAAGAGCTTCAAGTCGTGAACGGTGACGGTACAGCGAATTAAATGCACTGCGCTGCTTCTCGCGCTCCGGGTCAGTATTTCCATTACTCGACGTACGTCGAATCGCTCCTTTCGTGTTGTATCGGTCCAAGAAATCATTATATGGCACCAAGCCTTCTTCATCCAGCGCAGTCAACAAGGGCTGAAGAGCCCTCCAGTCCAAGGACAGATCCAGTACATCTTCCATAATGGTACCCCACGTCTGAACCGTCAGCTTACCTGATTTTTCCTTATCAAAATGCTTGAACTCCTCGACCAAATCAGACCGATATTGCACAATGAGCGAGAATAATGCATCCAAATTGGATATCGCCATATCACGACTCTCAGCGCTGGCCATGAACTGAAAGAAAGCAGGTTTCTCCATACCCGAAGGGATGCGCATAAAGCAGCCAAGATTATTTGCCTTACCACAATAGTTGGATGCCGAGAACAGTGTAACTAGCATACCTTTTTCTCTGTACGGCCAGTCGAAACCTTGTGGAACGCACTCATGTGAGCGAACCACAAGAGCCAGCTTATTCTTGGTCATGAATTTCTGTACAACGTCCGGACCGTATATTATACCAGCACCACGTTTATTTTCTTTGTAGCCTTTGGTAGTCTTTGGGTCGCTCCAGAGCAAGTCTCGCATGAGTTGCATCTTTCGGTGCGGTTCGCGGTCCTTGCGGCTCTTAGGTTTCGTACGGTATCGCGTAAGATCGTAGCCAGATCGCTCAAGCATGTTAAATTCCTTGATCAAAACGTTCTCGCGGGGCACACCGCCGTGCACGACGAGCACACGGTCATCGATAAGCGTGGCAAGGGGCAGGTAGCGAAAGCTGTCGCAGAACAGATCATATACATATCGGTCGTACTTGACTTCGCATTCTTTCATGAATCCAAACACTTGTGTGATCGAGTTCTCTTCGTGGTTACCACGGTTCAAGAGGACATGTCTCGGGTACAAAAGCTTAAACAAGTAAATGATAATGACAATCTCCACGCCACGGTCACCACGGTCCACAAAGTCTCCGTTAAACAAGTACGGGTTAGACTCAGACGGCAGACCGTTCTCACGAAGAATCAGTAAGAGATCATCCAGCTGCCCGTGCAAGTCACCAACGATGGTAATGTGTTTAGCAGGTGCAATTCTAAACTTCACCATCGTTGAATTCTTCTGCAACAGGTTTGTAGCTTCAGTCAGCACACGCACAATAACATTTCGTGGAATCTTTCGTCCATTACGACACGAGTCAATGAGGTTTTCCACGTTCGTAAGCGTTATAATCTCGTCCAGTTCGTCTCCTTGCACGTACATGTTGGCAATGTCAATATTACCCACTTTCTGTTGAGAGACGGGATGAAACGCTAGTGTCTCCTTTTGTTTTTCTTCATCTAGACCAGGAATGTAGTTGACCAAAGCATCCAAAAACAATGACAGCTCCAGCTGTAAACATCACACAATCGCAATATACCAACCAAAACATAATTATCATCAAATGATAAACAACATCGACTTGTCATCAAAAAAACAACAATAACGTCAAGTCTGTTGCAAGATCTAAAACCAAACGCACCACTTCAGCCTCTTCTCGATTCTCTAGATCATTAAATAATTTCCAATTGGAGATAATTTGATCTTCTGTTGGTGTTGAAGCTGTTAAATGTGATGGAGAAAGAGATTTAGCAAGCTGTTCTTGGGATGGACGTTTCTGCTGAGACGGGGCTGTATGTAACATGATATGAAACAGTTACGAGTGTTTACGTCGACACTATCGATAGAATCATACACATAAAGACATAAAACATACCTTTTTGTTCTTGACTTGTGCTTGATTGCGTCATGACGTTGCTGTTATTTCTACCAATGAAAATGCACCATAAAGTTAATATCAAAGCTATGAAATAGTCACACGAGTCTTGTGTGCATACAAGGCACTCTTTCGTCGTGATTCGTTGGATACTAAATACGTCGAGCTCTGATGCTCTTCTTGCTCATATGAAGGTCCATTTCCCATGATAACAAAGCGCTAATTCGAGTGACGTTTAGAGAGAGCTGCGGGAGAAGACGTGACAAGGAATTCTGACGTAAGAGTGAACCTAATCAGATGATTGATTCCAATTGTAACTGACGAATCAGATGCTGGTTATTATACCCAATCGTAATCGACTGTGAAATTAACAGTAAGTCACAAATTCATCAAAAGTTTAGCAGAAAAATATCATCTGATTCCACAAATTAATCGACAATTTACTCGACTAAAAATCATGTTAAGCACTGATAGACATCATTTGTGCAGCATCTGATTCCTTAGTCCGACAACGTCTGAAAAGCCTGTTCCACGTCTTCGTCCAATCCACGAAAAAACGCCTTGAGGTCAGCTTCTGGCTGCTTGGGCAATTGAAACTTGGCCTGAATAATCTTTTGCAGTACTGGATTCATGGACGTCTTGATCTGTGCCCATGTCACCTTTGCATCGGGTGGAGAGTCAGCAATGACCTTTTGACTTAGATTGTAAAACAGGATGATCGATCGTAGCATTCCCACACTCTTGACCAAAGGGCACGTAAAGTCATAGTCCGAGAAAGCATTCTGCTGGAGAAAATCCTCACGGATAATCTTGGCCACTTCCATAATCACCTTTTGATCCTCAGATAGCGACTCTTTCCCAACAAGCTGGACGATTTCAGTCAAATTATCTTCCTTTTGCAAAATTTCTTGGCACTTTGTACGCAGCATTGAGTATTCCGGGTCAATCTTGTTAAAGAATGGCTCTAACACGCGCATGTACTTTGTATAACTGATCAGCCAGTTTACGGACGGGAAATGCTTACGCTGAGCGAGCTTCTTGTCCAGACCCCAAAAGACTTGCACGATACTTAGAGTAGCTGCCGTTACAGGGTCAGAAAAGTCACCACCAGGGGGCGATACGGCACCCACGACAGTAACGCTACCCTCACGCTTTGGACTACCCAGACATGCCACTCGACCAGCACGCTCGTAGAAAGCAGCCAGACGAGCACCCAAATAGGCCGGGTAACCGCTATCAGCAGGCATTTCACCCAGACGACCCGATATTTCACGCAGAGCCTCAGCCCAACGACTCGTAGAGTCAGCCATCATCGATACATTCATCCCCTGATCACGGAAGTACTCGGCCAGCGTGATACCAGTGTAGATCGAAGCCTCACGGGCAGCCACAGGCATATTCGACGTGTTAGCCACCAGCGTCGTACGCTTCATAATCGGCACCTCACGGTCGTTGACAGTCATTGTTAGCTCGGGAAATTCGTTCAATACTTCAGCCATCTCGTTACCACGCTCACCGCAACCCACGTACACAATTGCATCGGAGTTCGAGTGCTTCGACAGGGCTTGCGAAATAACCGTCTTGCCACAGCCAAAAGCACCGGGCACAGCACAAGTTCCACCCAGTACAGACGGGAACAAAGCATCAATGATACGCTGACCCGTTGTCAGTGCGACATTGCCTGCCAGCTTTTCCACTACTGGACGTGGTTTACGCACCGGCCACATGTGCGCAAGTCCTAGCTTGTGCGTGACGCCAGTGGTATCATTCCGCACTTCAAGCACCGTATCCTTCAGCGTAAATTGCTCATTATTGTCTGTATCAGCACCATAAATCTTGACCACTGTACCAAAGACATTGGGTGGACACATGATCTTATGAGAATGCAAGATATCATTTTCATGGACAAGGCCAAAAATGTCTCCGCCTGAAATCGGATCTCCCTCACGGAAATTAACAGGTTTGTAACGCCACATCTTATCAGCATTCAGTGAAGGTATATCCACACCACGAGGAATATACACGTCTTTGGTTAATTCACTGATCGAGTGCAGAGGACGTTGAATACCGTCAAAGATGTTGTCCACGATACCAGGTCCAAGCTCTACAGACAGTGGCTGTTTGCGACGCTCCACAGGATCACCCACAGTTAAGCCAGACGTATCCTCGTATACTTGAATCGAAGCATTGGTATTCTCGAGCTTAATGATCTCGCCCACGAGTTTATCATGACCCACACGGACCTAGGAGAGTAGAATGGAGTCAATTTAACGACAAAATGCAATAATAAAAGCTTAATCAGCAGCGTACCAGCTCATACATTGCAGCCCCATGCATATTTTCAGCTATAACCACTGTATTACCAGGTAAAAGTAGATACATTAGCCAATCAAATCTAAACTCTCGACGCTGTGTCTTCTTCCCGTGGAGAAACGAACGACACTCTACCGCACTGAGCGCATTATATGTAAAATGATACAAACATAATATAATACGTACAGGGACCTGAGACCTTGTACACGTAGCCAAAATCCGATTCCTTCTCATTATCACCAAAGACGTGCGCCATTACGAGATCTTCCGCTTGTATTTTAACCCTTTAGCTACGATTTTTTACTTGTATTTTGTATGTAAGACAACGGCTTCAAGCCGATTCGCTGCCTGTTTGGTATAAGATATAAGAGGTCAAATTCGTCGACAACCAATGCGATTCGCTATAATTGACCATGTCTGTCCGAAATATTCGATTGGTTGAAACACAGCTTTCACCCATTGGCTAATATATCGCTGGGTTTGGTTGGTATTGATTGACGCAAGTCGTAACATATCACCAGCATGACGGACCAAGTTGAGCAAGTTACAACGTCTCTCGAGACGGCGCAATTGATTCCTACTGCTGCTAATTCCTTTGTAAAAGATATACACACATCTACAGATTGTTCCCAAGTGACTGGAAGATTGCCCACGGTCTCGTCATCGACCTTGATAGCTGAGAAAAAGGTGCTGCACCTGGTCATTGACTCGGGTGCTATCATTAAAGGCACTAACCTGGCGGTACTGGCAGAGGTAGTCTTGGTACTTTATGTGATTGGATGAATGTACAATAAGAAACTCACCATTGGGACTGCTGTCTCTGTTGTGCTAGAACTTTTATACAGTGCCTGATGTACTGAATGAGATTCGTGACAAGAAGTCACGTGCGATTTTAGAGCGACTTCCATTCACTCTGCAGACCCGTGAACCATCGGCAGAAGCCATGAAGGCAGTGATTAACTTTTCTCGCAAGACTGGGGACTTTACGTATTTGTCTCTTACGGACCTGCGCGTCATGGCGCTGACGTATCAGCTAGAGGTTGAGGCTAACGGAGACGACCATTTGCGAACGAATCCCGAACGGTCGCAGACGATTACACGTGCTACTAATGGCAAGATAGTAGGCAGCTCGCAGACCAATGTTATGTGCAAATACTTTGGCACAGCTATGGGATGTAAGTTTGGTGATGACTGCAGGTTCTCACACGACGAAGCCGCTAGTAAAGTTGATCAAGCTGCTGAGACATTGACAAAGAAAGTCGATATTCCGTGTCAATATTTCAACACTCTGGAGGGATGCAAGTATGGGAACGAATGCTCTTTCGTCCACGAAAAGACTGAAAAGACTGAGGAACCCGTCGAAGAAACAGAGACTGCTGAATCTACTGTAGAGCACATGTTAAGCGAAGAGATCCGTAACGCTGACGTCAAGTCGCGCATTATGGGTGGGTTTGCAGCGTCGAGTAACGCCGGTGCTGCTGAAGATGACGGCAAGAACTGGATCACCAATGACAACTTTGCCAAGTTCACGGCATCTCCATTCGGCGACGGTCAAGGTCTGGAAGACATTTCGTCGCAGCTTTCCGTGGGGTGCATCACTACAGATTTCTCGATGCAGAATGTGATGCTTCAGATTGGACTTCGGCTTTTATCGACAGAGGGTATGATTATCAAGCGTGTAAAGCAGTGGATTCTGCGTTGCATTGCTTGCTTTACAACATCGACCGAGATGGAGCGTCTATTCTGTCCCAAGTGTGGTAATAGTACGATGGAGCGCGTATCGTACAGTCTGGATCGTGATGGTCACATGACTTTTTACACACGGGCAAACCGGCCCAGTAAACTTTTGGGTACAAAGTTCTCACTACCGAAGCCCAAAGGTGGACGCAATGGTGACTTGTTGCTCCGTGAGGATCAGCTTTTGGTTGGTATTTGGGGTCAGCGTCAACGTCAGCACAAAAAAGTCATGCAAAGCGCTTTTGGTGAGAATGTAGCACACGATCTTGGTGTCAAGGCCGAGAAGCAGACGTGCATTACTGTTGGGTATGGTCGAATGAATCCAAATGCTCAAAAGGGTCGTGAACGTCGTGGTAAGAAGAAGCGGCATTAGAGTATCAGTAATAGCATTTGGAGGATATGGTGTTGGCATTGAAAAATGTCATGGCCGTAATTGTGTCCTCATTGCAATCAATCATACTTTCTACAGTCCTTAAGGCCTTTTGCGTACTTAGTATGGTCAGTCATTGCGTAATTTAATTCTTTCTTCCAATGCAAATTACGGTATTTCATTGGGCTGTCTTATTAGAAACAAAAAAGATATATTACGTCAACATTCGACGTCATTTTGTAATCTTTTCAAGCATTTGTCAAGCCATGAGCGCTACTAACAAGTCAGTTATTGAGCTGCGTCATCCATCAGGTTCCCATGCCCAGGTGCATTTATACGGTGCAACGGTCACGTCATTTTACACGGCGCAGGAGCCTGAGCGCAACGTGCTGTTTCTGTCGAAAAGGGCCATCTTAGATGGCAGTCAATGCATTCGCGGCGGGATCCCGCTTGTATTCCCAGTCTTTGGTGCTGTCGAAGGATTTCCGAATCACGGCTTTGCACGCACGCAATATTGGAAGCTGAACCAATTAGATGAGACCGTGGATGATGATGACGTGGAGAGTCCAATTCGTGCCACGTTCTCGCTCGACATCTCGGACGATATTAAGGCCTTATACCCACACAAATTTACACTCGAGTATGAAGTCAAGCTATTTGCTAACGCACTGACTACATCCATTCATATTCAGAACAAATCAGAGTGGGAGATATCTTTCCAGGCTCTACTTCACACTTACTTGTCAGCGGACGATGTGCGTCACGAAGGTGTCGCGGTAGAGGGACTCAAAGGACTCACGTACTACGACAAGGTCACGAAGGAGGAAAAGACAGAGCATAGAGATGCAATAACCTTTTCTCAGGAGACCGATAGTGTCTATGCCAACGCCCAGTCACCTCTTGTCGTTCGCATCAAACGCGTAGACGGCAAAGAGCAGGTCGTGACGATCGAGAAGGAGGCATTCATCAAGAGTGGCTCGTCGCATGTGTCTCAAAGCAGTGACATTGTTGTGTGGAATCCGTGGGTCGGCAAGGCAAAGAGCATGAGTGATTTTGGAGACGATGAGTACCTGGCCATGCTCTGCGTCGAGCCTGGCCGTGTCATCAAAGAACAGAAGCTTCCAGTTGGGCACACATACACGCTGCAGCAGACTATAAAACTGTCGGCATTGTAGTCAATTGATGACATGACACGGGGTATACGTCCATGTTGAGTAGTATGCCAAGTCATTCAGGTTAATATCACATACCAGAACATTGATGGGTGTTAAAATCGCAGTTTTGGTGTCAGTATGTCGATTGCATTGTAATTCCAGCCAGAAATGACAACAAAGCACTTTGTTCAAAAAAGCACTTATGTGGTAACTTACTGTCAAAAAGCACATTTCCAAGTTGACAATAGTGTTTGTTAAAATTTGTGTGAAATTAGCAAGTAACTCGTTACATGGTTACACCGCAGTGCACGCTACTAGCTCCCGAAAATGAGTATCTAGGTAGATCGTGCGTTTCTCGATTTTGCATTAATCCATTCATAAACTTTTGATCGTATCCTAGATCCTACTCCAGACCTGCACTCGCTCTTCTTGGTTCGGTTTATAGCAACTTTATTCTGTCAAAAAGCTACGTCTTATATGATAAAAAACCTTTTCTTAATTATTTGAAAATTGAATTTTAGGAATACAATCGCCTATTTTTTGAAAATCGACTTGCCGGTTGTGAAGTAAAGTGGAGTAAGCGCATGACTCTTTGGTGCGTTATAATACAGGTAGTGGAGGTTTTATGTCCTCATCTGATACCAAACTGCTGTTTCTTGTGTTACTTTTGACTGTAATATAGTGCTGGATTGTGCAGTTTTCAGTCTCGAAGTGGGTTTTGTTCCATTCGATTAAGGTAAAAATAGAGTCGTATGGATACTTAAGTAAGGTTTTTGAATCAAGAATATGTGTTTGTATGCTATTCGACTCAGTGAACCGCTGCTGAAATATCGACCTCGTAGTGACATGATCAATACCTTACTCGTAAGTGAGAATCGTACGTGACGTTTATAAGGCTCACTATTGGTACCAATTCACGAGCTTTGATGTGTGCGTATAAGTAGCATGAAATGATTCATGCCTACGTGTTTATAGCAACGTCCGTGCGAGATCATGAAGACCATGGTCCAGTGTTTCAGGGACATATGAACCGGATCAACAAAGCAGCGCAGACGAAGATAACAATTTTTCACACTTTTCATGAAGAAGTGAATTTCTACCGACAACATGTGTGGCAATGCAATGTACGTCTAGTGGCCTAGAAAAGACAAACAACAAGTTGTTGGTAGAACTTACATTTATGTTGCATGACAGGGTCCGTGTCAACGTACACCACCGTACTTTGGCGTTGTCAAAAGATCGATGAATCGAGCTCCCGGACCGACGGATCGATGGTGGGCTGATCATGAACAAAAGTGTGGTGGAAGGTACTTGAAAATTAAAGAACCGGCCGAGTTTACGGCAAAACAAGCGAAAAAGATGGCAAGAAAACTTGCGTGCGAGGAAAAACAGAAGAAGAAGCAAGACAAGGAAGCAAAGACAATACCAAGTGTGAAAGAGTTTTTTCCAACGGTTGAAAAGGACGTTATGAGCATGAATTTAGGAAACACCACACGTGGTGATGCAAAAGCTCCGTGCAATGGAAAGAAGGCACGGTGCCAGGCTGAAATTGCAACTGACAGCAACAAGAAGCGAAAGAAGGAGCGTGGTGGTGATAGCAACAGCTTGGATCTGCCAACACTTGCGTTACCATCCTCTAATCCAGCCATTTTTTCTGCAGATGCCGATGGGCTTTATCTAGTGGGCGACATCCAAGCGCTTTTTCAAACCCCTAGATTACAGCTTGGTAATCGTATCGTTCGAGAAGATGATCAGGAAGAAGCACATACGAGTCCACAAAGTGGCAAAAACACTTTCTTGGCTACCACCCCGACGCATGCTGCAGGGTCTTCCACTGTCGTAGATTTGACCGTGTCGGATAGCGATGCTAGTGACAACGAGCAGTTGGATAATGCACACTTGACGACAATGTCTCGAGTCAGTGCAGACAGTTTGCCGATGACAGGATCAGGAAAGCCAAAGGTTATTGAAATTGAATGATCAGTTTCAACACTTTTGACGCAACATCCAAGCAACTTCATTGCTCCCCAAGCGTGTTCCATTGTGTTTTATCCGCAACCGTTCGGTGGAGTTTCTCAAACGTTCACGTAAACGGTAGTTGCTCTCGTAACGTGACACTGATGCAAAAAGGCTATTGCCAAGCTTGCAACAAAACATGCTCGCAATCCTGCATTGCTCTTAAACGCGCCTCTGCTAATGCAATCGGACGTGCTATTCTCACCATGCGTCTGCTAAAACCATACACTGAACTCGAGCCACACTAGCACAGTTTCATGTCACCTGATCCTTCTATCATTCGTTGGTCAAGTGGTTTTGAGAAACATGTTGAAAAATGGTTTCGAATGAATATAGTAGATTATATATTGCAAAAACAACTAGATGATTAGATATAATAAAAACTATCAAGATTGTAAAACAAGGTTTAAACTGTTTTATCATTACTGACAAATGCAATTAATCACTTTTATTCGTTACGCTGTAATAAACCGTTTTAACTTGAATAAAACACCTCATTCATTAATCTACACACACTCATGAAAAAACCATATTGTAACACAACACTTTGTTATTTGAGGTTTACTATCGAAAACAACCTTCCCACTACCTCACAAAGCTCTGAACTGACAACCGCTACCGCCCACTATCAGTCCAATATTCATACCCAAAATGTAAGACAATCACAGCTCAGCTGTACCATCACCAACCTTCAGCTTACGCAGACTTGGTCGTCTCTTGCTTCTGATGCTGGTCCTGCTGTTGCTTCAATTGCTTTTGTTGCTCGTCTTGCGCCGCCTCGCTCGACTCCTTCAACTCCTTCTTCTTCTTCTCCTGGGCCTTGCCAAATGGCGTCGTACTCCAGAGCTTTTCAAACTCCTCGGGTGTACTTTGAGAACAAATCGTATGGTGTTCACCTTCATCATTGCCGTGCTTTCGGTTCCACACCGTCTTTAGACGTTTACCCATGACCTCACGCTCATGCTCGGCTTTCAGACGACCCGTCGAGTCTTCGTAACGTCGACGTGTACTCATCACTTTACGCCCTTCCTCATCCACGACCGACGAACTACTGAACGAATACGACGAGAAAGCGCGTTTATTCTCAGCTTCTGCGGGTGTCTCATTCTTCTCCTTTTGCTGCTCTACTGTAGGCAAATCCTTGAAAAACTCCTCGTCAGTACTGACACCGGGCACATTACGCATGCTCATTGATAATTGAGGCATCGTATTCATGTCCATCATCGACAATTCCAGCATTGACATGGGGTGCCATAGCGTTGGGCGTACTAAATCCCACGACGAAAACATTTTGATATCACTTGATAGTTTCTTGTACTCTTCTTGACTTTTGCTTGAGGTAGATAATTCACAACTGAGGTCTAATGACGGACTTGACAAACGCCGTTGACATCGGTCACTCTACGAGGAGGTACAAGGAGTTTGGATACCTTGAGACCAGTCTAGCAAATTCTAACGGTAGCATCACACCAACGTATGTTGAAGTGAGCGTTGAATTTCTAGAACGTAGCCCATACTCAGTCTAAATTGATTTTCATCATGTGTCGTGCCCCCCCAATATCTGCTGTATGAACTTCTTCCAGTCTCATTACTGAAGTGTTAGCTCGAACATTCTCCTGCTTCTGCTGAGACGAGGCCATGTGTTGAAGAATTCTTCTGCATATTCAGATCAATGGTTGTATTCACCTACTGAAATACTAGCTTCCTCGCCTGCACTTGCGTTATGTGCACTAAGTCTTTCGTGTTTTCGACGGTGCCAACCAAGCACAAAGACACCTTCTAGAAGACATCTAGCCACCTTTGTTCTAATATTTTGCACGTCATTGACTGCATGGTGCGTCACGCCAACCAAGAGTCACCAAGCAACCGCATTTGATGCCAGACCAACAGCATTGACCATGAACCATATGCAGTATGTTGCATGCAGAACCTTTACATACTGCGGTAGTTTTGAGCTAGAGACAGATCTGTTGATGATGTAGTGTTTAACTAAGAGGTGTTGTCGGTCTTATTGTGCTACGAAGACTGCAGTCGACGCCAATAGCTATCTAGTTTATTTCTAAGCACTGAAAGTGACATCTAATGCTGACATTGTACAAGCAAATTGATAATGGCAAACATTGCAGACGTCAAATGATCGTGAACATGTGGTCAGGTGAGTTTGAATATGTTGTGTAGAAGAGGTAGTCAATGAAAAAACTCGATGGAGAGACATCAATTGCCAGTGTCGCCATAGACAAGATAATGATCTACTGAACAATGCAAATGAATCTTACGAATGCAAGTTCTTACCCATTGAGATCTTACGATATGTAGTTGTAGAAGAAGGTTCTGAATTGATTGATCGACAACGTTGAAGAACTCTACACATGCACAGAGATATTCAAATAGACATGCTTCATACTCCATCCAATTGTTCTGTACATATAAACACTATCTATTTACCTAATAACGCGTTTGACCGTCTGTAATTTATTATTAGCTCTAAATTAGCGTCACTTTTATTCGTTACGCTGTAATAGACCGTTTTAACTCGAATAAAACACCTCATTCATTAATCTACACACACTCATGAAAAAACCATATTGTAACACAACACTTTGTTATTTGAGGTTTACTATCGAAAACAACCTTCCCACTACCTCACAAAGCTCTGAACTGACAACCGCTACCGCCCACTATCAGTCCAATATTCATACCCAAAATGTAAGACAATCACAGCTCAGCTGTACCATCACCAACCTTCAGCTTACGCAGACTTGGTCGTCTCTTGCTTCTGATGCTGGTCCTGCTGTTGCTTCAATTGCTTTTGTTGCTCGTCTTGCGCCGCCTCGCTCGATTCCTTCAACTCCTTCTTCTTCTTCTCCTGGGCCTTGCCAAATGGCGTCGTACTCCAGAGCTTTTCAAACTCCTCGGGTGTACTTTGAGAACAAATCGTATGGTGTTCACCTTCATCATTGCCGTGCTTTCGGTTCCACACCGTCTTTAGACGTTTACCCATGACCTCACGCTCATGCTCGGCTTTCAGACGACCCGTCGAGTCTTCGTAACGTCGACGTGTACTCATCACTTTACGCCCTTCCTCATCCACGACCGACGAACTACTGAACGAATACGACGAGAAAGCGCGTTTATTCTCAGCTTCTGCGGGTGTCTCATTCTTCTCCTTTTGCTGCTCTGCTGTAGGCAAATCCTTGAAAAACTCCTCGTCAGTACTGACACCGGGCACATTACGCATGCTCATTGATAATTGAGGCATCGCATTCATGTCCATCATCGACAATTCCAGCATTGACATGGGGTGCCATAGCGTTGGGCGTACTAAATCCCACGACGAAAACATCTTGATATCACTTGATAGTTTCTTGTACTCTTCTTGACTTTTGCTTGAGGTAGATAATTCACAACTGAGGTCTAATGACGGACTTGACAAACGCCGTTGACATCGGTCACTCTACGAGGAGGTACAAGGAGTTTGGATACCTTGAGACCAGTCTAGCAAATTCTAACGGTAGCATCACACCAACGTATGTTGAAGTGAGCGTTGAATTTCTAGAACGTAGCCCATACTCAGTCTAAATTGATTTTCATCATGTGTCGTGCCCCCCAATATCTGCTGTATGAACTTCTTCCAGTCTCATTACTGAAGTGTTAGCTCGAACATTCTCCTGCTTCTGCTGAGACGAGGCCATGTGTTGAAGAATTCTTCTGCATATTCAGATCAATGGTTGTATTCACCTACTGAAATACTAGCTTCCTCGTCTGCACTTGCGTTATGTGCACTAAGTCTTTCGTGTTTTCGACGGTGCCAACCAAGCACAAAGACACCTTCTAGAAGACATCTAGCCACCTTTGTTCTAATATTTTGCACGTCATTGACTGCATGGTGCGTCACGCCAACCAAGAGTCACCAAGCAACCGCATTTGATGCCAGACCAACAGCATTGACCATGAACCATATGCAGTATGTTGCATGCAGAACCTTTACATACTGCGGTAGTTTTGAGCTAGAGACAGATCTGTTGATGATGTAGTGTTTAACTAAGAGGTGTTGTCGGTCTTATTGTGCTACGAAGACTGCAGTCGACGCCAATAGCTATCTAGTTTATTTCTAAGCACTGAAAGTGACATCTAATGCTGACATTGTACAAGCAAATTGATAATGGCAAACATTGCAGACGTCAAATGATCGTGAACATGTGGTCAGGTGAGTTTGAATATGTTGTGTAGAAGAGGTAGTCAATGAAAAAACTCGATGGAGAGACATCAATTGCCAGTGTCGCCATAGACAAGATAATGATCTACTGAACAATGCAAATGAATCTTACGAATGCAAGTTCTTACCCATTGAGATCTTACGATATGTAGTTGTAGAAGAAGGTTCTGAATTGATTGATCGACAACGTTGAAGAACTCTACACATGCACAGAGATATTCAAATAGACATGCTTCATACTCCATCCAATTGTTCTGTACATATAAACACTATCTATTTACCTAATAACGCGTTTGACCGTCTGTAATTTATTATTAGCTCTAAATTAGCGTCACTTTTATTCGTTACGCTGTAATAGACCGTTTTAACTCGAACAAAACACCTCATTCATTAATCTACACACACTCATGAAAAAACCATATTGTAACACAACACTTTGTTATTTGAGGTTTACTATCGAAAACAACCTTCCCACTACCTCACAAAGCTCTGAACTGACAACCGCTACCGCCCACTATCAGTCCAATATTCATACCCAAAATGTAAGACAATCACAGCTCAGCTGTACCATCACCAACCTTCAGCTTACGCAGACTTGGTCGTCTCTTGCTTCTGTTGCTGTTCCTGCTGTTGCTTCAATTGCTTTTGTTGCTCGTCTTGCGCCGCCTCGCTCGATTCCTTCAACTCCTTCTTCTTCTTCTCCTGGGCCTTGCCAAATGGCGTCGTACTCCAGAGCTTTTCAAACTCC